TTTCCAGACAAAGGCTCAGAGACGGCTAAAGCTGGAGCAAAAATTCTACTGATTTTAGATAATAGAAGGATTGAAGTTGTGCATAGTGGTTTTTGTTTTTCGATTTCTCTATTCAAAATGGTGCTATATAGGGGTAAAAAATTAGAACGCCTTAAAGAGCGAAAATTTACACATATTTTTCTTTTTATATTATAAACTAAAAATATTTTGTTAAAACATATAGAACAAAATTTGTGCAGAATTACAAGATCTTTTAAATGATATCTCGAAAAAAGGGCTGACCCCTAAATAAAGGGATCTTGAGGGACCAAAAGTATTTTTCAGATATCTCAAAAAGTATTGAGAATTTGTAATACATCCAAGAAGCAATGTTGTTCAAAATGTCAAGCTTAATCTAATGAAGTCGTCAAAATGCGTCTGACGATGCACTTCCGGTCAAACCGGAAGTAGTCAGAAAATGCATATTTTTGCTGTTATTGACAAGTTTTGGGTAACATATCTCACAGGAAGCACAAAACTTAATTTTCCGTCCATCGACATCACTTCCGGCTTTTCAGAGAATGAAGTAGAATCAGATTTTGAAAGTCAATCTAAACTGCACAAGAGATGTTTGTAAAACTCTTATGCCCCCTCCACAAAATTGGAATATTTCCAAGTCCAAGGGGCATAACTCTATCAAAATTGGCCCAAACATACCCAAAAAAGAACTTCACCTAGATATTCAACTGATAAATCTTTAAATACCAAATTTCATTTCAGTATGTGCAACTTCTACTAGAGCTGGGTATCGCGGCTGAAAATGTATCGGATATATTGCAATATTATATTTTGTATTGCAATATATCACAATATAAAATTTTTAATAAATTTTGCTTTTCATCAATGTTAAAAGAAAACAAAAACTCAAATTCCATGTATTCTCAGTTATATTACAACTGCCTGATCGCGTTGTGTGTACGCAAGTGGCAAGCTAAGTTTTTGTGGCACAACTTTAAGAATCAAAATGTAATATTCAAATTCTGCTTTAACATGAAGGGCTTTCATGTAGCAGTTGCCGTCTTGTCGTTTCTGATAGACATGTCTCTGGTTTCATCAAACTTCACGTTGTGCATATTTTACCTTGAAAGGGGCAAAAACTTGTAACAATTTATAGGATATTTACCGGTATTCACAAAAAAATACCGCGATACGTATTGTGAAGAATGAAATCGTGATACACCGGTTAACCGGTAATATCGCACAGCACTAACTTCTACGAAGAAAATGAAGGGAAACTGCAAATAAGTGGAATTTTTTTTAAGTCCAAGGGGCATAACTCTAACAAAAATGGTGCAATCATACCCAAAACAGAACTTGACCTAGATATTCTTATGATAAATATTGTATGGAGTATACCAAATTTCATTTCGAAATGTGCAATCTCTGCGAAGATAATGAAGGGAAACTGCAAATAATTGGAACTTTTCTCAGTCAAAGGGGCATAACTCTGTCCAAAATGGCATCAGCAAAGCAAATGCCCTCCTATTCATCTGATATATCTGTATACCAAATTTCATTTCAGTATGTGCAATGGTTGTGAAGAAAATATGTGTAAAAAAAAATGAAAAAAAATTTAGGAACAGACAAGCAGCAAAGCAATATGCCCTTCCTTCTCAAGGGGGTAATCAAATACATGTATTGGTACATGTGCTAAAAAAAAATTGATAAAAAAAAATATTAAGATTACAAGATAAACGTCTAGCATATCAAGTTCAATTTGGTAATCAAATACATGTATTTTCTTATTTCTAGATGCCTCCTCGGACTGTCTTAAAGCAAAGACACCCTCTGCAGCAGAAAGATTTGTTCCCCATCATCAAAGAGCTGAGAGGGTTACAACAGCCGGTGAAGCAGTTTGCGCGTTACAAAATCAACACGCCGCTTGAAGACATGGACTAGGAGGAAGCGATTAACACCTTTAGGGAGCTGACCGGGGAATATGAAAAAGAGTGCTGATGGCTGGTAAAGAGATGACAGAACAAAACCTAAAGATGCTTCATCATCTTGTGATCTTAATGTAAAATGAGACTTACCAGCTGGCCAAGATGGTGAAAACATCCAGGGCCAGAGCAAATTAATGTAATTATTCCTCCCCAGCCTCCCAGGCAGCAAAAATCTGCAGAGAAATTCTCTTGGAGTTGAAGAACATGAATCCCACCACCATCCCCAGCAAATTGTAGTGTACATTTTAAATTATCAGTAATTTCATGCCCAGGATTACCTGTGTACTGAGACAACCAGTGATGCTTCACCAGACTTGGGGGAATTTTCACCACCAAACATTGATGCAGGTTCAAGCATGTCTGCAGGAGATGTGGAGGCAAGTACCCAGCTAAAAGCTGATCAACCAACAAGTCATCTTCATAAATTGATCATGACGTTTATTAAATTAGACAAAATTATTCTCTATGCACAAAATTAACCAGATCATCTTTTTTGAAGGGAAGGTTTTCAACATGGTTTTAAACTACAATATTCTGGTCTTAGAACACCTAGGTTTTCAATCAACAACATCTGGCTCACCAAGTTCTCCGATGCTGTACTACACTCGGCCCGAAACAGACAAAGATAGAGCTGACATTAGGAGATAAAAGACCCTAGATCAAATAAGAATTCAACTATTAGAGAGTTTACACAGGCTTTACAAAAGCACAATTATGAATTTTTTTGTAGACATAGACAAGAGCTAGATTTATACGAGCGCGACATTATAGATATGGCCATCTTATATGCAGGCTCTGTGTTTTACGAGTACCACGAACAGTTCAGTGCTAGGGCAGCTGCTTACCCTAAGTACCAGAACATACCAATAGACTGGTCAGTCCGTAACAACACTTTATTCTGTAACATCTTTGCTAATGAAAAGCCGGTCACATGCACTCCCTGCAACAGTATCAGTTAGGCTATCTAAATTTAATTCCCTGGTTCTCAGGCCAATTTTCTCCAAAACAGATGCGGGAGGGCGGCATTTTATTTTTCATTTTATTGGCAATAAAGTAGATGAGGGAGGTATTTTTTTTAATTTTAATTTCCGAATTTTCTTTAACATAAAGATAATTTTTTTAATCACAGATATACTTTCCATTTCTGGTCAAAATTTCTGCTTTATCCATTGCTTAACAGGGTGTAAACATCGTAGGTAATGTCCTCGAATGTATTTTCAAACGAAGTAGCCAAAATCTCATTGTAAATGGCTACCGGAAGTGATATTTGAATACTAAACTACGAAACAAATGAGGTCGGAATTTTTTTTCCCGGATTGGTCTCCGCAACTCCAACTTTTTATTTTATCAAAAATACAATAAAATCGGCAATGCGGCCACCTCAAAACGGATGCGCGCGGGCCTGAGAACCAAGATTTCAATTTTAAATGGCCTTATACTGCTCCCTTCTGTCATAAAAACCTAGAGAAAGGTGCCAAGCCTTACCACTCATCTCAAACTTACCGTCAATATTCAAACGCATTACAAAGCGGGTTTAGAAATAGTTAGCAATTATAATGACATAGGACGCAATCGAAAAAGATGTAACAACTTGCATGTTTGTAAGACTCATAAACAAACTGGGCATCCACAATCTCAGTGCCATTTAAAAAAATGAAGTAAAGCCCCGGAGGAAAGGGTCACCAGAGCGGGAGAACCAGTGAATAGTATAACCATTTCAAGTTTTACCAGTTAACATAGTACAGTTAATTCTCAATAAAGCGCCACCTTTTGTAATTTAGAAATCATGGCGGTATAACGAATTTGGCGATGAATTGAATTTTCCATCTTTTAGGAAATAAGACATTATAGAGTTATCGTTCTTAGAAATACCATTTAGCGTTTCTATTCTTATTATCACATGTACATGTGTATATATAAACATATTTCTATATTTGAAAATACTTCAAGTAAGTTTTTTAATGTACAATTTTGCTAAAACAAAATATTCAGTTATGAAATTAAGACAAGTACATGTGTGTGTATGTAAATCTGCACGTTTGATATTGAAAAAAAAAAATGCTGGGTCGATCGTCGTGATATATTGCCTATAGTACGCAAAATAAGTTCTTGAATAAATTCATTGTTTATGAAATCATTGTTAATGAAACGTTCACAATTTCTGACTTATAATTATTTTTTTAAGCAAACTTTGAATTGTTTTTAAAAGCAGAGATCATCAAAATGATATCGTTATCGGCGTACTTTGCAACGACCGCTTTCTTGGCGAAGCGTTGAATTATAAATGATTTTATTAAACAGAAAACAAAATTATTCTAACAGTTCATGTTAAAATTATTGTTTATTTAATTAATTTACTTAATTGCATGAACCTTGACTGGCTTTGCATGCTTTACAACAGGGATAGCGTCAACCAATTAGTCGCGCTTCACTGACCACATGCACCTGTGGCGGTATTATCGAGATAATTGACACTTAAAAATAAACGTTTGTTGTGAAAACAGGGTGGCGGATGGCGGTATGCGAATTTGGCGTTATAAAGAGAATTTTATATAGCAGGAAAAACGTTCTTGGGAAATCATGGCGGTATTGCGAAAATGGCGATGAATCGAATGGCGATAATTCGAGAATTGACTGTACTCTTTGTATGAGAAAAACAACTTTAAGTCTATCGCGAGTGTTCTCAGTCTGGGACTCCTGGACAAAGAAAAGGTGTCACCAAGTTTGGATGCACCCAATGCAATATGCTAGTTCATCTTGAGTGTCAATCAAATCATATAATAAGGATGCTGAGACAGTAGGGGCTTTAAATCAGTGAAGTTTGATTTGGTCAAAATCGTCTGATAATTTTTCTCCAATGTGTGGTAATAATGGCAGAAAATGGAGTTTAAGAGGTTATCATTTATTACATCTTAAACTAGGTAAGAAGAAAAGAACAGGGACCGGAAAAGAATTTTAAGATTTAGAAGCAAGACTTGCCAGTCAAGAAGAGGAAATAGTGGAGTATTTGTTCTTTTTTTCTTTTAAAGGTTTTCATTGCAAATGCATTCATTCTGATCTGTGAATTACCAGATCACATACCGAGGACAAAGCCAAACAAACCAGGGCATATTTTAGACATGACGAACGGAGCTGATGGAATAGCTCTTTACCCAAGATATTTTTTCAACATTCTAAGATGTAATCCACCTATACAACAGCTAAATATGTCTAATCTGACTGGGAAACACATTTTGTGTCACAATAGGTAGGATTACAGTGTAAACCACATGGGAATATACTACCAAACGGGACTGATCACTGAAAATAAATGTCAGAAATCACAGTGAAATAGCTTGCACAGGTCGCAGATTACAACCTAATCCTGTACATATATATACTTTTATGCTTACTTTTTTTTATTAACAGTGTATCCTTTCCAGTTTTTCTTCCTATATATTAGGGATTTTTTTTATAAAAAATTTCTCTCTTTCTACAACTTAGAACAGTGCAATGTTATAATTTTATTTTTATTATTTATTTTGTGATATTTTCAATTGTACTGTTTAATTACAGTAATTATAAATCAGTTTACATGAGTTCAAATGAATTCTCACTTTTAAATAACTGGGTTTAAATGATGGTTGATGAATATTGGTGTTTTACAAATTCATGATGAAGATGAAATATTTACAAGAAAACTTTTATGCAATCAAAAACTTGAAAATATGCCTACAGTAAATTATTCCTCAAATAAACATGTTCTCAGTTCAAAGTTCTAGCATACTGAATGTGGTGAAGGTAATTTGAGGAGAATGCCACTGAATTTTTTTTTTTTTTACAATTTCAATGGCATCATACCCATATGCAGGCATTTCTGTTTTAAAATAGCCCATTCTTTAAAAGAATATATATATACATTATGTTTTATATACACATGGTTCTTGATGCTTGTCCTTAGTGTGATGATCGAAACTTTTCGGGAGAAATTGGCATTGAAAATTTTAAACTTTCAATGGTCACCCACATACATACACAGTGTACCCATTTTTTAATATATACTGTATACAAAGTTATATTGCCATGTGTTAGATTTGCCCTTTTCCACTAGAGAACAAATTTCCCCATTTTAAATTCACCCTGTCAAAGTTCAGTTTAAGATTTTATGCTGTGTTCATTGAATTCATTCCATTTTTAAATTCTCAAAACCTTGAAATGGGCAAAAAGGGCGAAAATAAAACAGGGACAAACATTTCCCTGTATACAGTATATAAACATATGTATGTTTAAAGTTATAATTTAAGCAAAATAAATTTGAAGATTCAGACTGCTCAGATGACAGAATGAATCGTCAAATCTTCTAAGATAACATGTCATGTGTATACTCAACTGTAACTCGGAATTCAAGACATGAAATATAGCATAAAGAAGAAAATCAAAAAGAAAAGGTTTAGCAAAAAAAAAATGTGAGTTCAAAATCTCAATATTCTGAGAAATTATCTTTCAAATTTCTCAGCAAATGTTTATAATTTCAAGAAAATATGCACAATTTTGCTTTTTAGTGACCTAAAGTTATAGTTGAGTACTTATGCATATAATGTGACTTTTCTTAATAGTCTACCTATAAATAATATTATACTTGATTTTTGAAAGACAAAAAGCAAGCACTTGGCACAAGACATGAATGTAAAAATAAAAGTTCGAAAGCCGACAATTGTCAACTTTCGGAGAACAATATAATCCTTATACAAGTGTACATGTATGATTTAATAGCTTTGTTGATGTTGACAAGTTGCTTGCTTTCACTTCATGAAAATTAATACATGTCTGATGTTTAAGAATTACATCATTCTTAGTGGTTGATGCAAGATTTTTTTCCAAAATTAGGTACTTTGGAAAATTTGCATAATCTTAAATACAAATCCATACACAAACTCACTTAAATTTAACATGATTAAAACATCCACTCACTCGTACTATTTTTGTACATTTAAATAAAATTTATCACATGCAATGAGAACTTGGCACAATAAAATGGAATTCAGTATTAATGGAAATATTGCTGAAATAATCACAGACCAGGAACAGGAAGTGACATCACATGACTGGTACCCATCCCTCATTCTCCTCTGTTTGGTGCAGACCTGGTATAACAGATGCTCTAGTCAGGCCAAAAAATTTCTGAGGAGTTAGCTCTTTACGTGTTGCTGTAAATTTCCAGCCAATGTGAAAAGCACACCTCCTGCACTGGGCTATAGTCCAAGCATAGCTGAAAAATAAGATTTCATTAAAGGTTCACATCACATTGTCAGAAAAAAATGTCATTGAATACCGAAATGTCACATACATTACACTTTAATAAAGCTTGTAGCATTTTGGATTTTGCAAATTCTCAACAGGACAAAACATATCATATTGTCAGAAAACATTTTAGTGAACACTAATATTTTTATTTTTTATATTTTTATCAAACTAAAAGACTTAAGTTGCAAAGAACTTTCAAAACGCTAGTAATTTTAAACACGCATACTCTTTTCTTGACCTTTTCAATTTAAACAAGACATAAAAATAACCCCCTGACAGGATCCATACCCTGGGAACCAGCTATGTTCTTTTGTGGCTCTTCCAATGAGATTCAGATTCTGGGCCTTGTAGACGGTCATGGTCTCATGGACATACCCCTGGGGGTTCACGTACGCCCCCAGGGGCCCCTCAACAGAGAGACAGAAGACATCATTCTTGTTGGCTATGTTTGTGTTACACTCTTTACAACACAGGGTTGAACACTGAAATAGAAAGATACTCAGGAGTTATAAAACAAGGCAATGTATCTTACAAGTGGTAAAAAGAATACAAAGAGAAAGTCAAGTAAAACCAATCATTTCTACATTGTCTTCAAATATCACGTTTATAATTCCTCTACATAAACAAACATTTAAAACCTCAGAATTTCTCTGTTTTTCAAATAGAATGGAAAAATATGCGATACAAAATCAGATATAAATTTTCCAATTTTATAGACAAGTGGTTGTCAATGTCTAAGGTGCATCTTTTCTAAAGCATCATATGATTCCACTAAATGTCTGTAGAGATTACCTACACATTTTATCCTGTATTCGTTGTTTGGTAATGTATGTCTACAGGGCTAATATATATCTGTACATTCTCAGTTTTTGAACGATACTCAGTGAACACCTCAGTCTCTGTATCACACTGTCTATTGTTTGTACATTCTCTGTATCGCTGTGTCTATTGTTTGTACATTCTTACCTTCTGTACTCGGTGAACACCTCAGTTTCTGTATCACGCTGTCTATTGTTTGTACATTCTCTGTATCGCTGTGTCTATTGTTTGTACATTCTTACCTTCTGTACTCGGTGAACACCTCAGTCTCTGTATCACGCTGTCTATTGTTTGTACATTCTCTGTATTGCTGTGTCTATTGTTTGTACGCTGTCTATTGTTTGTACATTCTTACCTTTTGTACGATACTCAGTGAACACCTCAGTCTTTGTATCGCGCTGTCTATTCCCAGCAGATTGAGTCGGAGGTTGTCATCGAGCGGAAGGTTTTGTATTAACCAGTAGGATAACTCCACAGGGTGACTAGGTAACTTCTCAGGCGTGTAAGACGTGTTCCACTTAAACAACTCCCTCTTCACATTTTTGACCACCAATTCCTGTTCATAAGAAAAGATTCATATGAATGTATAACAAGGACTCAAATTGGATGGCTCCATCTTCTGGGAATGTAATGAATGAAGATTCTAAATGAGTGGCATTGATCCCTAAATTTGTCAATGAACTGTAGATTACTTTATTTTCGCGACATCTTGTTTTCGAGAGATAGTCATTGACTCTTGATTAGCGAGACAAAATTTTCACGAATTGTGGTTTTTGCTCTATATAATCTTAAGGAATACTATTATATGTGAGAATAAAATTTTCACGAGCACACTGTCTCGCATAATTATGCGAAAAAAAAGTTCTCGCAGATAAAAAATGATTTACAGTATTGTATTTGGAAATAGGGGTTATTAGTTAGGATACATACAGGATCATACATCTTGTATACCCACGGAGGCCACCACGTCAAGTATGCTGCAGAAAAACGGTTCACCTGCAAAACAAAATATTTATTTTCATGATTCTTTCTGTATTAAGGATTTCTACCCGTAATAGGACAAAATTCTCTACCCTTAAATATACGTCGCTTTAAATAAATCAGAAGTTCACATTGATTAATCCGATATGGAAGACTTTTGCATAAAATTTTGTCAGTCTTGCATTAAAATTACATTACTGCAGTACTGCACAATACAATACTTTGATATCATTACCTGTGGAGTATTGAACATGGTTACACTGGACAGTATGTTTCCCTGTCTGTCTACAGCGGTCTTTGTAGATGTACCCTGGTCCAGAGGCTCACAACAAAACTTACAATGGGAGCTGGGCCGAGCGTCGCTCAATATGTCCCCCAGAACTCTCTCCTCCAGGATCTTCACTGTGCACATCAAAATCCTACAATGGATGAAGTAGAAAATATGTAATCCTACAATGGATGAAGTAGAATATGCAATCTTATATAGGAAGAAAAATAATGAATGACCCTACACTCCACTTACATGTACACTGAAGATAATCAACTTAACCTTTGCATTAACTGCAACATAGATCCAAATATCTGGACTATTCACTCTTTAACTCGCCAGTCATATCTGTAAAGTGTATTTCTTCTGAACTTGTTACATTCACTTGGGAGGGGGAGGGGAATGCTTTGAAGAAATTTGACTTTCAGTAAAATAAAAGTTGAACAACTCTTAAAAATTTTACCTATTGAGATAAAATAGAAAAGCCTGATAACTCTGACTTTACCCAGTTGCTGTTCTTCTGGACTCCATGACCTTGAACCTCTGACGACCTTTGGCCTTTACTCTGATGGAAGCTAGTCCGGTTCTATCATCAGTCTCGTCTTTGACAGAGAATATTTCTGCTGTGGTTCCAATGTTTGCAATAATATGGCCACCATCATCTTCAGAGAACCTGACAATTTAGAAATTTCAAATGTTGCTTGTAATTATAATAATGTAACACCTGTTTAAATTATTATCTATAGATTTAATGTCAGATAATTGACAAACTGTTACATTTTATCATAACATATGATAGAAATATCTCCTTTGTATTAAAACTATTATGAAGTATATTTAAAGTAGTAAAGTTTTAACATTGTTGAGTTTTAATCTGTTTTGAACCTGTAAGCTACAATGCCGAATGTGTTGTCTTTATCCATCACTCCTTTCAGCATGGCTACTGTGTGCTGGTGGAACAGGTGTAGAGGAATGGTTTGATCGGGGACCAGCACCATCCCTGGGAGTTGAATGACAGGGATAGAAATCGTGGACCCCTCCTCGTAAAACGTACGGCCTCGCACATCCTCCAAATCATCCCCCAGGTACTAGAAAATACAAGGTTAGGATGAGTGCATACATCTTTATGAACACAACCAAACCAGTACTGTAAAGAAGCTGCAATATTTGTAAATGGGCCTAAATTTGGGCAAAAATTGTCTTTGGTAACAAAAATACACATATCTTCCAATAATCTCTGAATGAAATAAAACCTATTATTTCTGCAATTAAAAATTATGGACTTTATATAAATTTTACAAGTAGCCATAGACTTGATCATATTAAAGCTATATTTTTGATAAATTATACTCATGATATGGTATCATAAACTATCTTTTTGTGAAGCTTGAACTTCCAATAGAGATCAGTCTAGAACTTGAGCCTTTTCCCTGCCAGTGACCTTGAACTTGTCAGAATTAACATGATCAAGGTCAAGATATAACAAAGGCTTATCTTAATTAGATAAAATACCAAAATGAATCTATTTAAAACATTTTTTTTTTCTAGTGTGAGAGAGAGAGGAAGTGATCAAATTTAATGGATTCTTGACTTATCAACCAACTAACCAAGTGAGACAGGTAGTGACTCATCAAATGTAATGGACACCTGTGTTTATGACTTACTGAGTGAGAAATGGGTAGTGACTGATCAAATGTAATGGACTCTTGTCTTATCAGTTGACTGCTGTCAGTTTCCTCTTCAGAACTCTCACTTTCCTCGCTACCACTTGAGGAATCTGTAGAAAAACATTGAACCCAGTTAGTATATTATTGGCCTTCTGAACAATGGTTTCAGTACTTTAATAAATTTAAATTTTCTTCCTCACTAAATAATAACTAATAAATATACATTGACATGTTCAGATGTTTAAGATGAAAAAAAGCATGAAGAAACAGTAAAAATTATGAGATTGAGATGTTTCCTGTCCATTTTAGCACAGAACATCCTGATGAAAATATTAAGTCACCACAAAACCATTTCAAGGTGAAACAGAACTGGGGTGAAACATCCCAGGTTCTAGGTTTCCTCCTTGTTCATCCCTCTGTCCATGTGTCATTGTCACTTAATTTTCCGCATTTTCCAATGCTTGCAGAAATTGCACCTCTTTGCTGAGCTAGTGTGTCTTGCAAGGACTTGTCGAAATTTTTTAATCACTGTCAGACATTTGGTCTGACAAAGTTGAAAGTTCTGTCGGACCAGTCAAACTTTTGTCAGACCAGATGCTTGTACCTTACTTTGGCGCTGAGAAAGTCAAATCAATAACAGCACCAAAATGCCCCTTCAATCTAACAAGTTTCCTTTCTTGGGATAGAGAGTCTTTAACATAGACATAAATGACATGTTTTATGACTTTGTTATTGCCTGACGTCACGGCGTCAGGCTGTATAAGGATTGATATTTCCGAGGTGCGAAGAGAAGAGGTCAGAGTTAGCCAGCAAAATTTTGTGCATGCTGATTATCACTGGAATTTGTTACCTCCGTTTCAACAAAACATTTAGCAGAAAAAAATAACAGTCTAATACTGATACAATATATTGATGTGTTTATTTCCTTTACTTTTTTTGCATGCAGCTGTTTATTTCATGCGATTTCATATACAGAGATGTCCGTTTAACCTTTTTTCTGCGTTTCTGTACTATTGGATGAGTCCATTAATCTGTCTTCTAGGTAAGGGGTGTCACAATCATTTTGCGCCAAATGTCACGTGTATATCTTCGCGCCCTTTTCCTGAATGATTCTACTGCACTGAATGGAAATGAAAACTTCAAGTCTGTTCTTTTCATCGGAATTTCGAACTTTGGGAAAAAACATATCAGTGATATTGTGAAAGAAGTTAGAAGTTACATCATTTAAAGTAAATAAAACGAAACGGAAAAAAATGTTCTTAAGAGGAAAACTTGCCAAATATACATTGTATTTCTGATCATATCTCGCCCGAACTCGCAGCCCCCCCTCCCTCCCAGTTTTCAGAGATAAAATTCTTCCTCCTATGAAACACAGAAAATAGACTTCCTAAAGGAAAAGTGTCCCTCCTATTCCAGGAATGATGAATAGAATGTAAGGAATTACCGTCAAGTTCGCTGGGTCATTTATGCATAACGGGCTGTTTCCAACAATCGTTGATGCTCTGGCATACCCAATGCATGTTTAATCATAACGATTCATTTATTTCTTGTAGTTATCATATTCTCAGCTGTCTTCCTGGTAGTCTATGCAGTTGAATCTAATTCTAAATTTTAATTTTAAAATTAATTTATAACCGGACCTTTACATAGGTACGGCTTTCCAGCATAATATTAATTCATTAGTTCATTTCCCTTATTTAATTACTACATCTAAAACCATTTATATAAATAAATTATAATGATTATAGGTTCCATAGATATTGATTGCATTAGTCAGGCAAGCTTTTTTGAAAAGCTATTACTTGTAACAAATTTACTTGGCTCAGTGCTCCAAGTTGCGACTAAAACGGTCGCATATGCGACCAAAAAATTAGTTTTGCGACTAGAAATTAAAACTAAGTCGCATTTTCGCGACTGAGAAAATTTGGGCTGGGAACGTCCATCTTTTTATGATCGGGATCGAGATTTACGTTTTCAAGATTCTCTATCAAGACAATTAATGTTTGAAGATATATACTTAAACACACTTTATAAAGCGTCGTATGGAATTGGATCACGTAATGTTATGACAGCATGCTGTAATAGTAAAGTTTGATAGAACCAGAAACATATATACATAACGTCTCTGAGAGAATGGCATCCAAACGTCGTAAACTTTCTAGAGTTTCTCTTTATTAAAGTATTTGATCAATGGTTTGCATATCACAATTAATTAAGTGTGTTTTGGCGGCATTGATAACGACTGCGACATGGGTAAGATACGTAGTAGTAAGTAAACAAGTAAACATGATAAACAATTGGCAAAGTCCTGTCTCAACAACTGTCAAAGTTTTATTTTCTTTTGATTATACTTTAATTCTTAAGGATCAGATTATGTGTGTTCTTCTGTATACCATACAAAGGGTGGTTGTATTTAATAAAAATATATCCTTCAACTAGCAAAAGATTTCTAGTCACAGTAATCAATAATCTTTGATTTAATAAAAACATAACACAAGTGGATGTTAGTTCATTGTTTTAATTGTTATTCACGTTTTCATCATGGCGAGTGAAAAATTTGTTAATGGCGACCAGAAATTCTGAAATGGCGACCAAAAAAAGTTTTAGGTCGCCATTTAGCGACCTAAAAGTAAGTGCGACTTGGAGCACTGTGGCTGTCGTCAACACGCCGCGTATGCAGCCATTTTTTCTGTGTCTGTGACCTTTAACTACGCATCCCGATCCCGACCTTTATTAAATTTTGATTACGCTCAAGTATTTTTCAAAAGGTCATCTGGACCGATGTTTTCTTAAATGTTATCGGTCAAGAAAAATTTTTACCGGCCTTGCCGACAGGACAGACAGATTTCGACAAGTCTGCTTGCAGTTTGCACTTTATTCCACTTTAATAAATTCCCCCTTTACATTTTTATTGGGGAACCAGATCACATTTGTTGATAAAGGTCTATTACATGTGTAACTTTTCCGTAATTTTGCAAAACTCTCATAAATGTTTGCTTAACTCCCCCCTTGACTAAATCCTGGTTTAAAGGTTGATTATTTTTTAAAGAAAATATTTTTTGTTAATTGTTTAAGTGCTTCTTCTTCATACTTGTATCTTCTACCAACCCAGTCTATTTTGAATCTGTAGAGTAATAACTTCAAAGTTTTCTGAGTAATAATAATTTGAACTGTTGAATTTTAAAACTGTGACTTTACTTCACTTTCTTTTGTGTGTTTGTTGTTAATGTCTGACTCTCTGTCTTGACACATGACGATGCCAACACTTGAAGGTGTAGTGCTGCAAATATTGACCTTTGCTTCGCAATCAGGTTAATTGAGCAGTGAGGGATCTTTTACTTGCTAGCACCAACTGCAACATGGACCTTGTTTCATACAGTCTCATATGAACATGATGAAGGACCTGTGTCTCCACGTTTCACAGTGGGATTCGCACCTGCGACGCAATGATCAACTCCTTACTCCATGATTCTTAATATAGACACTCTACCTCTGTGGCATGTGAGCAACCCACTTCCCTTTGAAAGAAGAAATTACAACAGACAACAAATACACATGTAACGTTAACGTTACACTTTTTATGCTGGAGGTATCACTCAAGAAACTTCATTTAAAAAAATAAATATTTACTTTCATGCACAATGTTCAGATACATTGAAATTTATTAATCTTTTCTTAATGTTCGACAGTGTTTTCAATCATTAACATGTATCAGACCCATTCTCCTTAGAATGCCCAGCCTTGAATATTGTAATGGCGATGAGCGCCAAAACAACAGGCTCTGCAATCTCAGATGCTGGGCCTATATGGAGATAGTCGAGAAAATTCAGATTACCCACAATTGTGTGCATTTTTTCATGGTCTTACTTTAAAATGCAATGTTGCATCATTTTAAAACTATACACACCATCCTCTTCCCCATCTGGTTCAACAATGCCAATGCCTAAAAGAGGTAGCAAGTCATCATCCATTTCGCGGTTCTTCGCATCAGAAATATTCGGAATCAATTGATCTTCAGAAGATTCCAGAGGATTTACGAAAATAAAAGTAAGTTGCACGTGACATGAATTCACCAATGAAAAACCATGTCGTGTCTTTTGCTGAATTTTGTACTTCCGGTTCACAAAATACGAGTCATCTGTCATAAATATTCAGCACATTTAGTACGTCTTAGAGCGAAAACGAAAACAGAAAGGTAGGTAAATGAAACGTTTTTCTATTTCTTTTGACCTATGGTTATGGACATTTTACTTAATTTAGGTGAAATTTTGTCATTGAAAGAATACGGTTAATCTAAAGATTTTTACCTAATCATGCTGTTGTGGTCCAAAATTCATGGCCATCATCTCCTCAAGTTTCAGTATTAGGACTTAATTCTGGAGACATATACAATGCAGTGGGTTTTTTAATTTAATGTTTTATATATTGCTAAGGGTATGATAATCCAATTTAATTTTTGATTTAACTTTCACTGTCAGATTTTTTGAAAAGGTAACTTATGATGCAATATTTTGTAAATATAGCAGGTGAAAAAGTTACAACAGCTGTTTTCTTCAAATGGACTAAAAATTATAATCTCTTCTGTCCCTGAAAGTAAACTTTCAAGATAAACCAACTATGATCTCATTCTCTTGATCTCTTAATAAATGTAAAGACATCCCTTTGTGTGGACGTCTTGCACTTTGTTTATTTATACATATATTTCCCTGTTCCCTCATCAAAAGATGTGTCAGAAAAGATAGGTGGGGAAAAGCTTTCACCCAGACAGTCATACTGACAAGACGAGCATCATGCACATTATAATGCTATAACATTGCAAGCTGACTTCCTCTGATGCATCCTATTTAATAGACATTAAGAAAATATGATGTGAGGTTTGCATTACTTACACTGAAAACATTCGTCGAGGTGAGCTTCGTAATCTTTGATTACCTATGTTTTATTTCCAGATCGAGTAGAGTTACTTCTGTGAGGATATGAATTGTGATAACCTCATTTTACTGACTGCCCTATGTGGCATCTGGACAGTGAGCATATCACTGGCAAAGAAGGACTATTATGAGATTCTGGGGGTTAAGAAGAACGCCACAGACAAACAGATCAAGAGGGCCTTCACATTGCAAGCTGACTTCACTCTGATGCATCCTATTTAATAGACATTAAGAAAATATGATGTGAGGTTTGCATTACTTACAGGCCGTTAAATACCACCCTGATAAAAACAAAGACAAGGATGCACAGGAAAAATTTGTAGAAATAGCTAAAGGTTAGTCTAAAAATAGTGGGCAGGATAATTTGTAAATTAATAGAAGAAAAGAAACATCAACATTTCAAATACTAGTGATGGAACGATTGTCACCGACAATCGATTGTCGGCCGTCAGAAGCTCTTCGGTGCTACTAATCGATTATAAAATAAATGTCGCCAACATCGCTAACAAAAAATAAAATTGTCATGCTTTAATTTTATTACCAAATCCAAGTGTAAAAAGCATAAAAGTAGTGATGAATGTTCAAAACAAGGAAGGATTCCTTGTCTTGTTGATACTTTTACCGCCATGATTAAATATGGGGTCAGACTAAAACCAGGAAACGGTGATTTTGCAAGGTTTTTACTATACAAAGGAAAACATGATTAGTCTAGTCAATCTTTAAACGTAATTATAATCAGAAATACAAGTCTTACTTCTGGAGAACTACTTTTAAAACTTGCAATTTTAACTAATTAAAACTAATTTTAAGAAATAAATTTTATACATTTATTAAATGAAAGGTGGGACTAATATTAGTAAAATACCCATTGCATATTAAAAAAAAATTCCATTCTGTTTTTAATAGTCCTATATTGTTTAAAGTAAACAAATTATTATTTTCCACTTTTTAAAAAAGAAATTTCAATTAACATTTAAAATATTTAATGTAAGTAAATGATTTTTTTGTAAAAGTCTGACAGAAATCTGAATAAGTTTCAACCTTTCTATATTAATTTCATTCAAGTTCAAAATTTCGATTATAATCGATTATTAATCGATTATGCTCAGCCAATTATTACCGATAATCGATTCTGATTTTTTTCCGATTCCCCATCACTATCAAATACCGTAGAGCAAGGATAATTAAATTGTTTTAATTGATTATGTTGATTGATAAATTTCATATTTTCAATATTGTTTTAAATGATCTATCTACTTCCTCAGTTAAGGAAATGTATCGTCCATTCATTAGAAATGTGAGTATCCTTCAATGCCCTTTGACAATCAAGGATATTGGCATTTTTTATATAATGAACAAAATTTGTCTAAATTGAGGAAGTAAAAAAAATCATTAATTTTGAAACAATTAAAATTATGTGAATTTCATTCAACATTCAAAAGTCAGGTAATTCTTTTTAAGTTAAACCACATTTTCAAGACTGAAAATTGTCAATAATGTGACATAAATTGATATTTTGATGCTAACAAAATTTCAATTTAATTTACAGCCTATGAAACCTTGAGTGATCCTGAGAAGAGGAAGAAATATGATCAGTTTGGTGACGAAGCAGAAAACCTCAATGGAGGAGGAGGAGGGGGCGGTCAACCGTTCACGTTCAACATGAATGACTTTTTCCGTGGATTCGACGAAGCGTTCAATGCTCACCAGGATGGGCACCATCGTCATCAGGAAGGATTTAAATTTCACTTTGGAGGAAATGGTGGACAGCAAAACACCAGATTTTTTAATTTTGATGATTTATTTGAGGACGATGATGATGACGATGGTGATTTCTTCTCCTTTGGTGGGAGTCCATTCGGTCATCACAGCATGTTCTCCTTTGACGACGACGAAGAGGACATGTTCGGACATCAAGGTCAAGGTCATTATTCCCGCTCCCACAACCACAATCACCGCGCTCACCACACACACCACAGAAACCTACACCATAACTTACATCACATGCACAACAACATGCATGGTAACTTTGGTAACATGAGAATGCACTCTTCTGGTTTTCATAGTACAGGTAACAGCCTCTGCTTGCTTCTCTGATCTCTCTTTTATTATAGATCTTTAACGTATTGTGGATTTTTTTTAATGCTAGTTTTCAATTCAAATCTTTTGCAATGTTTCTCTTGTTTTATCACAGATCCAAGGTACTGTTTTCTATTTATTTATTTCATTTTTATTTATTTCAAATTATCTTCTTTTTTTTTTTTGGAAAATAAAAAAAATGAATGTCTGCAAATATATATTATTTTTCTTTTTCTTAAAGTTGCACTAATGCTTGCACACTCTGAGTCTCTTACTCAACCATTGTCTTGCAACTTATTATACTTTAAACACAACCTTAGCCTAGCTGATACCCAATGTCCCATAAAATATTCAGGGACTGTTTTAGTGTCAGTTGTGTACCGGTATTTGTTATCACGACTTAATATGATTTATTTTATTTTACAGGAGGTCGGACGTGTCGCACTGTGACTCAAAGAGTAGGAAACATGGTAACGACCCACACGGAGTGTTCATAATGTGTACCCCTAAACTGATAACCTTTACTGTGATATTATTCGCGACCTCGTGGTGCTTGGATTATCTATATTTAACTCCCCCTGACAAAGTCGGGAGGAGCCTATATCAGCAGGTGATTGTTAATCGTAATTTTCCGTAATTTATAAACAGACCTCGCACAGTTTCATAAAAACATTTGTTGGATCCTGTGGGGTGGCTGTTTTTTGATCCTCAGACACAAGGAATGAAAGTGTACATACAAGTGTTTAGACTGCTTGTTGGTAATATCAAAAAGTGCTGTGTGAAAGTTGATTGCTGATGACAGAAAATTATTGTTGAAATTAAGCACACAAATGACAAATTAATTTTCACTTTTGTTTTCCTGTTTTTTTTTTTTCAATGTTTGATTTTAAAAGTAGATATGATAAGAGATTTCCATATTGTGTTTTGTAAATTTTTTTTTGTTTCAAAAATCCGTTCAAGAATTTCAGTCTGTCTCTTAGCATAGATTAATTATGGTACATGGATGGCAGTAGCGGATAGAGTACCATGGATAGCATTATTTAGCAATATTTAATTTTTCATGGATAAATGTTCTTGATTACGGACATTCTGTGTTAGGCCATAATAAATAAATTGCTAGATTCTCATCCGAATTTTTTTAAAAATGGAGGCGGGCGGGCGGCTTTTATTTTATATTTTTTATTCAATTTTGTAGATTTTTTATTGACCTGGTCAATCGGTGTAATTTTATCTACAATGCCCGAATAAAAGTCATAGTAAAGAGTCAATTATCTCTTACTTCACATCTTCACCGATCAACCAATGACCCCTGTTTAAAATATATAGGCATGTATTACAGCAATTACCGTCTTTTCAGCTGTCAAAATCAAACTGTTTAAAACGAAAGTAGAATGGTATTACCGGACATTAAGACTAAAAAAAATCGTGTTATATTTTTATTATGGCCTTATTGAAATCAGAATGTAAGTAAAAACTGTGTTCATTGTAATATTATTTGTTCATGATGTTTTAAATTCATGTACTTTGTGTTGAAATGAATCATAGTTTTTCCCATGCCTACAGCAATTTTACTTATATTTGAACATTATTCATTTAATTCTTCAAGAAAGAATTCTTCTTTTTCCCAGATCATTAGATGCCTTCTACCTGGTATATATGTTCGATTTTATGAATAATGCTCAATTAATGACACTGTCTATAAAGATAGTATAATTTGCAGAATGTAAAATCAGAAATTTCGTAGAAAACATAGCAGGTTTTTCAGTACCAGAATGCTTTCTAGGTTGATATTGTTTGTATTTGTTGATTTGCTTTAATTTCAAGCCAAACAAATAAGAATGAATAGATAATTTCCCACAAGAATTTTATATACCTCTATGTTAACCTCTACAAGTATATTTTGATCTTCATTAAGATGATGTGTGAACTTTTTGGACTGAAAAAAAAAATATTCATAATATTTTAAATAGTCATATGAAAATCTTTCACTTCAGTAAAATGGAAAACACTTTGGAAAAATATTTTTGTATTCCTTCCTTATATCTGTAGTAAAAATATCAGTAGCTATCAATGATCAGAATTTTTTTTTTTAAGTTTAAAATTGATGAAAGCTTTGAATATTCATATTGGTTATAGATGTTTCATTCAAATTGCTATTCAGTAATTGTAGATGTAAATCATAATATTTGGGTATTGTATGTAATATTATAAGTGCAAGACTTTAAAACCTCTCTTCCTCATTCTAGAGGAAATGGTCCCTTGTGGCTTCAAGATTAAACAGTATATGCATTATTAATATTAAGTACAGGTTTAAGTTGTTATTGAATATTGTTATCATTAATATTTTGTTGATTGAATTACCCACTGTCTTTCAATTATGGGAAATAAAGTTTTGTGCTCATAAGGATTTTGTCTTCTTCGTGTATGTTGGAGTTGAAAGATTATACAACACATATATACATTGGATATTTTGATTATTTTCTCCTTTATTTTTTAAAAAAACCACTGCCGTTTATCTGTTCATGAATAACACTAGGCAAATCATCTGTACATATTTTTTGTCCCCTCTTTCGTGAAAGGGAGAGGAAATTAAATCTCATTCGTCTGTCCATCTGTCAGTCCGTCCGTCACAAAAACTTTAACCTTGCCCATAACTTTTGATTCTGTGGAGCTATGATATCTTAGGTTTATTCCTTAAGACAAGACCTTTCTTTGGGTACCACCAAATTTGACCTTGACCTTAGAGTTTGACCCACTTTTACACAACAATTTTTAACTTTTAACTTGGCCATAACTTTTTAACGGTAGATCTATGCTGGGACTTTTATATTTCACACTTATTCTTTGTGGCAAGACTTTTCATTGGTTACCAACAACTTTGACCTTGAAGATTTCCCTACTTAGGAAAACTTTGGCCATTACTTTTGAACGGTAAGGGCTAGGGCTTCCATACATCACATACGTAATCCGTGTGAAAAGACCTTTTATTGGATACCAAGAACTTTGACCTTAACCTTGGAGTTTGACCTACTTTCAAAAAACAAACATTGACCTTAATTTTTGAAGGGCTAGGGCTTTCATACTTCATATATTTTATCCTTATGACAAGACCTTTCATTGGATATTAAGAACTTAGAATCTTTGACCATGACCTTGGAGTTTGACCTACTTTTTTGAAAAACTTTAACCTTGGCAATAACTTTTGAACGGTTAGGGCTAGGGCTTTCATACTTCACATATGTAATACTTGTGACAAGATTTTTCTTAAGAAACCAAACACTTAGACCCTTTGACCTTGGAGTTTGAATAATCTTTCATAAACTTATCCTTGGCCATAACCTTTGAACAGGTGGTGCTAGTACTTTTATGTTTCACAATCGCATTCCTTGTGAGAATACCCTACTTTGGGTACCAAAGTTTGGGTATAATTAATTTGCATTTAAGAAAAGTTTAATTTTCGCTATGTTGCCATACGGGGGCATCAGTGTCTCACAAACACATCTTGTTTCTTACCCCCCGTTCACACATAGACGCCGCTTTTACTAAGATCAAAGCGTTGCAGAAAGCGTGGCCGATCGTGAAAAATCGCAAGAGAAACGTCGTGGAGTCGTCATAAGCGTAGTATGATCGCAGTAGGGTCTTCATGATCGGAGAGCTCCACGCTCTCACCACGCTTATTTTGAACATGTTCAAAACAAGCGTAGCGGGATCGTGGCCAACAAGAATCGGGGTTAAGTCGTAAAAGGAGCGTAGTAGAAGCGCCATAATCGTACAAGCAGCGCGGAAACATCTTAGAGAGATCTTTGTGATCACAGTAAAAGCGCCGTAAGAGCGTAGGAACTTAAAAGCACGCTCATACAATGCTCCCTCTACGTTTGTACTACGTTCTCAATACGATCTCTCTACGTTCCTGAAGATCCTACGATGACCTTCAATGACCTTACGCCGATCATATCACGACCTATCAGACAGGCGTTTGTTCTTATAGCGGTAATATTTGACCAATCATCATCTGTAAACTACATGTAAAGGGTGACACTATACTTGACGATCATTTGCAATTGAGAATTTTCACATCTTGTTACAGTTAAAATTGAAAATGCCCTTAAACCATATGGTAAAGACCGCAAAAAAAAAATGCGGTCGCAAGATATGTATCATCGCTAAAGTCGTGGTACAAAAATCTGCGGTTGCAAGATATATAGATTTACATCATTGTCAAAATCGTACTAGAAGCGTAATGCAATCGTAATATGATCGGCACCACCGTAGCGACATCGCCGTGCAGTCATCTAGGTCTGCATAGCGTCGTAGTATGGTCTTAATGTCGTAGTGGCAGCGTAGCGTAAACGCAGTAAACACGGCCGCTTGTCGGCAACGGTCTGCGTAACATCGTACTAGAAGCGTGTTAGCATCGCGTTTGACGTAGCGACATCGTAGTACGGTCGTCGCGAAGACCATAATTTGCGAAAATTGCTCTATTTAGACGCCGATCGGTTGCGATCTGCCCCGATCCAGAAAAAATTCAGATCGTGGCTTGGTCGGGATGATCGCCGTAGAGTCGCAGCTCTGTGTGAACGGGGGCTTACAGCTTTTGATTGAGAAGAGATAGTCACTTCTTACCAAACATTAACATTTTGAAAAGATGTACGAAAAGTTATATGTGTTTCATGTCAACAATTTAGCCCTTTTTTAGCTCCCCTGAGCTAGTTGAAAGCACAAAAGAGCTATAATGATCTCAATTTGTCTATAGTCCGTCTAGCTCTAGCTGTCTGTTTGTCCGTCCGTTTGTCTATAAACTTTTCAACTTCTTCTCCACAAAAACTGGGCCAATTTCAACCAGCCTATTCCAAATTGTGGACTTCATGGACCCAAGGTTAGGGGTTCTGTGTCATAAGCGATTATTATGTCATTTTTTAATGCGTCCGTCGTCCGTCCGTCTGTCTGTCCGTCTGTAAACAATTTTTCAAAATGCTACTCCTCCTACAGTTTTGGTCTGATTTCAATATAACTTGGCACACAAGTAGAATACACTAAGATACATAATTCTGACAATTGATGTGAAATTTCGATGAACGGTGTCGCCGTGGTTACTAAAAATAGATTTTTTGTAAAATACTTTTAAAATGCTACTCCTCCTTCAGTTTTGGTCTGATTTCAATATAACTTGGCACACAAGTAGACTACATTAAGATACAAAATTCTGTATATCGGTTTTTTTTATTTCGATGAACGGTGTTGCCATGGTTACTAAAAATAGAACTTTTTGTAAAATACTTTTAAAATGCTACTCCTCTTACAGTTTTGGTCTGATTTCAATATAACTTCACACACAAGTAGACTACGCTATGATACATAATTCTGTGTATCGGTTTTTAATTTCGATGAATGGTGTTGCCATGGTTACTAAAAAATAGAAATTTCTTTGAAATACTTTCAAAATGCTACTCCAAATACAGTTTTAGTCTGATTATAATATAATTTGGCATGCAAGTAGACTACACTGAGATACATAGTTATCAGCTTTGTGTTTTGATTTTCGATGAACGATGTTGCCATGGTAACTAAAATTGAAAATTCTGTAAAATTTTATTTAAAAAAGGCTACTCCCACAGTTGTAGTCTTATTGCAATCTTACCACAAAAAGAGACTTAATCAAGGATCATTATTCTATTTATTGCTTTTGTAAAGTTTATGTCCAAACTGCTGCTTTTCTCTTCCTTTATTATAAGTACAAACCAGTAGAGCTACAGTCTCGACAGAGACTTCTGGTTACACATTGGAATGTCTATGGACTTGTCCTTTTAACCATGACAGCAGCATACCATCGACAGGGTGTTTTTACTCCCTCAGGGCACTAAACTTGCCACAAAGTATCCTTCCGTGAAAGGGATTTAAGTTTGTTCAAATGAAGGGCCACGCCCTCAATCAAGGGGAGATAGTTAGAAATAGTGAAAATTTGGTGGCATGTTTTAAAAATGTTCTCAAAAACCACTTAGTCGAGAAAGATGAAGCTAATGTGGAAGGATCCTCAGGTAGTGTAGATTCAAGTTTGTTCAAATCCTGACCCGGCCCCGGGTATGGTGGGGACACAATGAACGATCAAAATTTTAGATAGCAATATATGGAGAAAAAAATCTTTAAAAATCTTTTCAAGAATAACAAAGCCATGATTAGTGATATTTATATAGAAGCATCCTCATGTAGTGTAGATTCAAGTTTGTACAAATCATGACCCCCGGGGGTAGGGTGGGGGCACAATGGACGATCAAAGTTTATCATACAAATATATAGGGTTTTTTTTTTTAAATCTTCTCAAGAACAACAAAGTCATGATTGTTCATATTTATATAGAAGCATCCTCAGGTAGTGTAGATTCAAGTTTGTTCATATCAGTATCCTCGAGGGTAGCTATAGGGTGGGGCCAAAATTAAAGTTCAAACTTATAGGGAAAAAAAGCCACATAAAGTCAAAGAAATATGTCATCCTTAGTAAGGGCCACATCGCTCACCTGAGCAACTAGCTAGGTATAAGCAAAAATTTTCCTATATATTTCTATGTAAAACTTTGGTCGGCCATTTTGGCCCCGCCCTACCCCCGGGTATCATAATTTTAACAAACTTTAATCTATACTACCAGAGGATGCTCCCATATAACTATGAACAATCACAACTTTGCTGTTCTCAAGGGAAGATTTTAAAAGATTTTTTTCCCCATATATTGCTATCTAAAATTTTGATCGCTTATTATGGCCTTACCATATCCGGGGGTCAGGATTTGAACAAACTTGAATCTACAGTACCTTTCTATGTAATCCTACTTTGATCACCCATAATGGCCCCAGCCTTGCCCCAGGGGTCATAATTTGAACAAACTTGAATCCTCATTACGAGAGTTTCATCCTTCTTGCCCCAGTGGTTCTGAGAAGATTTTTTAAAGATTTTGGATATGTATTCCTATGTTAAACTTTGAAACCACATTGTAGCCCCACCCTACACCCGGGGTGCAAAATTTCAATATACTTGAATCTTCACTACCAGAGGATGCTTTGCTGGCCCAGTGGTTCTTGAAAAGGAAGATTTTCAAAAGGTACCATTAATTTATCACTAATTCATAATTATCTCCCCTTGGAAGAGGGCGTGGCCCTTCATTTGAACATTTAAATCCCCTTCACCCATGTCACTTTGTGGCAAGTTTGGTTGAAATTGGCCCAGTGGTTCGTGAGAAGATGAAAATATGAAAAGTTTACGACAACGACGACAACAACCGTTACGACGACAACGACGAAGACAGACAAAGGACAAATTTTGATCAGAAAAGCTCACTTGAGCCTTCGGCTCAGGTGAGCTAAAAATTAGTGAGTTTAAAAATTAAATTCCAGTGTTAAATATTGCAGTGAGTATAAGAAATTGCTAAGGTGTGATTTTTCTTGAAAACATTAAACGACGTTTAATCGATGTAATTTTAGAATTTAAACCAATCAATGCGGGATTAGCACATACCGTTTCATGGTTGACTTCAACTTTTCCACTTGGCAAGCAGAGTTTTGATGCTGTTTACAGATACTATAGAAAATAAAGACAAGCATCTCCTTTTGAAGAGGATAAATGAGCTATAAGAAATTTCAAATTTAATCAGAAGTGTTGATAAAATCCTTGAAAAATAGAAATACTAGAAAACTGATTCAAAATATTTAAGTTGTACAAACACTATCGAAACTATGATACGGGAACAACCCTATCCTAGATAAATATTTCAAAGCACATCATTTTATTTGATTATTATGGATTTTATTCGGTATATTCATAATATAAAACACTTTCTATTCTATGTAATTATATACAAAACAATATAACAACTTGATTATGCATACCTATATATTTCTACATATATCGACATATTTCGATAATTATGCTAAGAACAGTACGTTGTATATAAAGGAACGTTATCTCCATCGTTGTGAAAGACAACTCAGATTGTCCCAATATTAGGTAATTTCAGAATGAAAAAATAGTTATGATGTAAACAGTAAATATTCTTTTATGATGTAATTTTCAAGAAGATACTAATTCGAAGAATGCAACTACTAACGCATATTTACACAAATTTTCCTCGTAAAGCAATGCATATGTATATTATTTTTAAAATCGTTCTTTTTTTTAAAGAAATATAAATATATAATAGTTCATACGTTAGTGACAATATACAATGTATACTAATATTAAAGAAATAGTGAAATTCAGCAGTCAAAAGATCGGAAGTATAATTATTCTCAAAATTAATGCCATCTGAAAGACATAACTTCCGGTCCAAAGCATTTCCGGTTCGGCTACATTTTAGAGTTCTCTGCCATGTAGCCATTGTTGTCTACGGCGTATTTCTCTTTGTGTTCTCGATCCCGTTTTTCTTTGTACTCTTTAGACATGAAGAGTTCTTCCACTTCCTCTAGCGTCTTATTTTTGGTTTCCGGCAAGATGAAGAACAGGATGACCAGACCCAGGAAGGAGATTCCACAGAAAAGGTAAAAGGTACCTGAAATAGATAGCGATGGTGTATAAGCTTATTACAAACTTTTATATGAAAGAAAATGTGTTCTGATCCAAATTTTAAAAAAGGCTATTTAATTCTATTCATTTATTCACAGTGAATATCTCTGTTTTCGCTTTATCCTGCATGGATTTTAAAGATCAGTAAACTGTAGATATATAAATGCCCCTTTGGTTTATTAGGTAAACAGAAGAAATCCAATCGACAATATGCAGGCAAAAAAAACCCAACAAACAAACAAACAAAAAAAAACCAAACAAATTAAAAAAAATAATTAAAGTTATAGTTTTGGTGCCATAACAGACATTTTAATATAATTACGGCAATAATTAGTTGGTTCTCCATCTTATCGTTATATTCCAATAACACTGTGGATTCGAGTGCTCGTGAAAGAAACGTGATCACAGCAGGCTACCTGTACACGTCACAGACAGACGGTATGGCGATCACGTTTCTTTCACGATCATGCACCTGGTTCTAGATTTGCCAGTGTCCGTGACCGCTCAAAAGCCACCCAAAAGTGTTTCCTGATCAACTTATTGGAACCTTGGTTGTATCACCAGTTTTGTTGGAATCTTGAAACAGAGTAAACCACAAGTCAGCTAATGTAGCCTTGGAATGTGTTCAATGAATTGGTGAAAACAATCCACAGCTCAGGTAATATTAATTCTTCAGAAATGTTCAGAATCTCTTGCAAACATTTTAACCGTAAGTGGCTTTCAACATGTTATTAATCACTGTACGACGACAGGCAAATTCAAGATTTGGCCTTGGAAAAGCACTGTTTGTAGTTCCAGCACCAGATTTAGAATGTGACAATTTTATTTGTTTACAAATTAATATTGTAAGTTACAGTTCAGTCTTATTGGACCTGTTGATAAAAATGTCAAGGATTGTTCATTTGTCTTGCATTAGTATTGACAACAATCCATTAAATCTCTCCAATTTTTACATTTGATAGGCATTGTGGACACTAACAGAAAAACCTTCCAAATCATTTGACCAATGCCTAATTTCTAAGTAAAAGAATCCTCATGAGTTTGACAAGGAAATCTCCCTGTCCATTGCTTTCGAAAAAGCATGGTGCTATTTATATAGATTTTATATACAAAAAAGTCAGAATTTTACATTTATTAGAAGAACGGAAAAGTTTTATTATTGTTCATTTAGGCAAAATTTCCTGGAAAGAAAAAGTATGCTGCTACTTATATAGAGTTTATATACAACGTATAGTATTGTGTCAAATTGATTCAAATTGTTACGTAAAATACAATCAGATATTGGGACCAAGGACCAACTTACCGTACGTTGTTATATTTTTTAACAGTATAAGGAAGGTGAATGACACTATGAGGTTCCCAATCCAGTTGACACAGGTTGCTAGTGATGTGCCCGTCCCCCGGGCCCAGAGGGGATAAATCTCTGAATTAATGGTCCATGGATTGGGCCCAAGACCTGTAATAAATTATATATCATCATCAAAGAACAATTAAGAACATAAATGCCTTTTCTCCTTTACTCCCCATACATTCGTGCAATTTCAAGAAGCATGAAATTCTGAGACAAATAAAAGGTTTTTCTAGATCTTTTGAAAGTGTTGTCCAGATGGTACAAGTTTCTGCATTCAGTAATATAACAAATTAACAATACTTATTTTTACTCTGCATACATACCTGGTGCGAATGCGATGACGAACAGTGCTAGTCCGAGTACGGCCATCCAAGAGTAGTCGGTGGGACAGAAGTCGTTGGCCCAGTCGTATTTTTCCGTGTCGTAGTTTGTCGCGTTACAGAAGGACTCGTTATAGTGCGTGGTATTTACCTCGGGCACGGCATACCGTTCTGGGTGGTCCTTGTACACGTGCAGGCACTTCCCGGTGGTGGCCTCCTTTCCATCTTCCCAACAGAACCCACAATTGTCATCCTTTATACATCCATTACAAGAGCTGGAATGAGAGAAAGAGTGGGTTTCACATGTATTAAACATGATTGTAAATATGTTACCCAAACTATCATCTCTGACCAGTATTTTTTATTAGTAGGAAAAAGTTTATGAGGAAATATTACTTTTTTTGCCAAATTTAATTTAATTTTAATAGAATCTATAACATATATTTACATGTATATTTACTAGACGTATTTAATATATCTAGATACATGAACATGATTGGATGACATCTCTACATGCTTTCCTACTTTAACAACTATTTTCTTCACTTAAAAATTTAAGTTTCTTACTCATATTTAACATGGCATGATGAGGAATTGTCAAGATGTAGAGAGACCGGTGGCGAGTTTTTCTCCGACAACTGAAATCCAGCACCAAGTACAATCAGGGCGATGATGATACCTTTATAATAGAGAAAAATCATTTGCGTAATTTAAAGCACTGTTTACAAAAAATCGCCATGAAGAGTAAAGACTGAGCAAGTCATTTCGATTATTAGTTTTGTGATTGGCTACTTCGCACTTTTTTATTAACAAACAAAACAATTAAAGAAGTCATTAAAAGTTATTTTAGAAAAAATATCTTTGTTATTAATACTACAATGTATTTATCGGTAAATTTATATTAGTTTTATAATTAGTTATGCTAATTCTGTTTTGGAATTAAAAAAAAAATACTTAAAATACATGGGAACACAAAGCTTATGTCAAAATATAACAACAAATACAAATAACCCTATCGTTTTACTGATCAAGTTCCTGAAAGAGATCATGATTTCATTCGTTTACTTTTTTCATATTTGTGTTTTTAAAAACCAGTAAACCGCGTAAGCTATACATATGTACGACTACTCACCTACAAAACTAAGTAATGTTAGAACCCTTCTTCCTGCTTTCTCTACTGCGTAGATTCCAATAAAGGTACACAGGAAGTTCACCGAAAACGGAATACAGGACAACCAGATAGCCAGACTTGATGGAAAACCGGAAACACGGAGAATACTTCCGCTGTAGTAACTATAAATAGAAACAAGTATTCGATTATTATCTCTCTGTTTCTTAAGTTCTCTATTTAATTTTACTTACTTTTCGGGCAATTCAAAAGGAATAAAATTTTATAATAGATATTGGTACTTAACGCCATTAAATTATCTTACATGACAGTGTTTATTCCGCAGAGTTGTTGGAATAATTGAAGAAGACATCCCAAAACTAAAGCTCGCCTGACAGGCTGTGTCTTCAACATTAAAACAAAACACTGGAACATGTCTAAAATAAAAGTAAACAGATAGCATTATTGATCGAAAATGGGGTTAAACAAAATTTGACTGATTTTCAATGAAAAGTTCTTGTGAATAAACAAAACTCTGACAGTTTGAAAGACGTGCACAACAGTCAGGGCTCTTTTTTCCCTATAATTTGGGCCTTTCAAAAACCCCATTCCCAATTGAAAAAAGGTACCCTTTCCCCAATTGAACATGTTAATTTTCCCAATTTGTCACTTCCTAAAATATTTAAGAACATTTAGTAAAATATGTACTTAGTGAACTTCATGAATTACTAACTCAAAACATGTAACCTTACTATATTTGTTTTCCTCCCTAGTTTCCTCCACTGACTTCTCGATCTCTGACAACTCGACGTCGACATTGTCCAGTTCTCTGATCTTCTGTAGCGCCTTCCTGGCCTCCTCTACTCTACCCTTCCCCACCAGCCACCTGGGACTCTCAGGTAAGAAGAAGAATCCAAAGAACTGAATGACACTGGGGACACCGGCGATCCCTAACATGTACCTATGTACAAGTGAAAAGGTACTGGTAGAAGCATTAACACTGACGATTTTCTATTTAATATATGCTATGATAAGTTATAAAATCATGTGTAGTACAAACAGAAAAAGAAACCCCTTAAATAGACGAGAAAAAGATGAATAATACTTTTAATTTTTTTAATGAAATATATTTGTAATTCCTCACTATACACTGTGTAGTGTGTACAAGTAGTTTTCAACACAAGAACATATTGCTCTACTGGTGGTCATCCACCTGTTACTCTAACTCTCCATCATTGTATTATTTACTAACCTCCACCCATTTTCTTTGTCAGTGCTGAATGCACCGGCGATGATACTAGACAGAAGGATTCCTACGGTAATGAAGAGCTGATTGACGGTGACTAGAGATCCACGGATGTGAGAAGGAGCTGCCTCAGCAACATAAACAGGAACGGACATAGAGGCAAACCCTGTAGGACACCAGTAATATAATTAGTAACAAAATTAAGAAAAATGTATTAGATTGACATTTTTAAAAGTATTTTAGATGAAGCATCATTTTGTAAACAAATTCTACAAAATTAATTAATACCAGGATCGTTTCTAGTTGTTGTTGAACTTTAGCAAAACAAATATTTCTGAACATTTTCACATGCTAGCATTTACAACAAACCCGTAATAACAATGAAAGAAACCAAGTTTAAACGTATAATAATTATTAGATTCATAAACATCATGACAATTTATCTACATGTCTCATGTAGATAATTTAATATTAAAATGATGCTTAAAAAGGTTTTTGTTTTTCTCATCAAAATCAGTGTCGAAGAATCGATAATTGACAAGATAAGAAAATATACAACAAAATTTTCTACATTTTAAGAAACAATGAATGGATATAGATGACGGCCCCGCAGTAAATATTAGTATATGACAATTTTGTTTTATTATTATTTTTTGAAAGTACGGTTTGTTAAAAATTGGTTTCGTGAAAGGTTATGCTTTGACTAACAATATGTAAAGAACCAATAAAAAGCCGAATACTAACACCTCCCTACAAAAATCCGAAGAATTTTATTGTACCCTATTTCATTTTTCCCGCTGCATTAAATCAACAAAATTATTTATTGGATATTAAGAAACAAAAACATGAATTCTGTATGTGTGAAGTCTTTTAATCGTGAATACATCAATCTCTTTGGGTTGACGTTTTAATAAGATAAAAGTAAGTAATTTATCTGTCAAATAGGTACTCTACTTGACGTTCAAAATTTATTTTGCTAATTTGGCATACTTCTGTATCTAAGTGGACAATGCTTCCTCAGCGATATTCTCTGTTAAGTTTGTTTACACGTACTTTAAATTAAACTCTTACCTATATAAATCTCAGAGTTTATTTTTTCAAAGTACATGTACATAAATACATGAGATGGTAATATATATGGCTAAAATAATTTTCAATATTTCTTATAAATGCTTCTATTCCTTTAATTGTCGTCTTTGATTATTACATATTTATATCTAAATCATGATATTAGCAAGGTGACACAGAACAAAAAAAGTTTTCTCAAGATTTTTAAAAATCCGTATCATGCAATTAGAAACAGGACTGAACAAGAAAAAGACATGCCTTCTTTGATTATAGGACATACTTTGGTAACCTATCACCATTCCCCTGTCGTTTTTGATGTATTTACTTATAAAACAAACGGTATTTTCCATCCACCGGTATTTAGACAGAGAGATCCGCGAGTTTCAGGCATTCAACTGAAGTTCTCAGTCCAAAACGATAAGACAGTCATGATGTTCTAATCCACGATAGACGGTCACTTTGTATAAGCATGCAGGAAAAATGAAATATTCCCTTGAAATAAAGCGAAATACCAGCTACATGTATTTACGAGGCTTAAGTTTAATTTCAAAGATCTGATTGGTTTCGGAAGGTCAAATTCATTTCGTCTGATTTTTAAAATTAAAAGAATTTTTTTTAATTTTTATCATATAAGGATACTTTGGAATGTAGCACTGTCAATATCATTAAATATAATTAATCATAAAGTACTTCTTTCTTCTTAGCTTAATTAGGTTTGACAGAAGATCAATATCAATGGAATCATAGGAAAATTATTAAATGGTTTATCATAAAGACTTAATGTTGAAGGGAAATAATGAACCCTCTAAATCGTATAATATTTTACAGAGGTAATTAAGAAGTAGTTGTGCAGTTCACTGGTCAATACCTATAAATAGAATACCGATATTAGTACTTTCTTTTCAGATCTTGCATCATCTCTTTCCCTTGACATATTTAATGTTTCGGTTCAGTCACATTTGTCGTTATGAATGTCCTTCATTATACATTTTTGGGGGTGGTAAAAATGAGTTTATTTCTTCATCTTTCAAATAATTAGGTGGATTATTAGTTTTCTTATCGTCACAGCTGGGGATACGTGTTCGAGTGGTTTTCGTGATGACAGCTGTTATCTATAAATAATAATCTCTGTACACAGTAAATTATAGGGGATACTGATAAGCACATCCCCCCACTTAACGACGGCTTTGCTTACACAGTTGGGACTCTGTGGCTCTTTTAATCCCGTCTTTGATAATCCAACCAAGATACGAGCAGTGCCATAGAAAACAAAGATGTGTGTTAGTAGAGCAATGAAGAATTCTGACATAACGATGCTTCTTCGAACACTTGTTTTTTTCTAATTTTGAAAGGTTATTTGATAGAAAACTAAAAGAACTTCCTTAATACTCCTACCCAATGTTAAATGTTATAATTAATGTTATACTAGTAATTAGCAAAAGTTTTTTGTGAAAATAGGAGAAAATAAGTAGGAAACCTTTTTAATTTTTTTTTATGTGGAAGTCTTCTGAATTTCTTTTTTTTTCATATTTAGTAATATATTACTACTGGTATTCATTGTTTTTATTTATAAAATTGTCTACACCGTAAAGTGTGGTCAAATAAAGGTTGTGTATGGAAAAATGGTTATGAAAGAAGTCGAAACCTACCACCAAACACCCTAAAATGTTCCTTTTCCGACTCTCCCTTTTGAAAAACGATACTTAGTCCTGGAGTATGCGTTTCCTAATTATCCAAATAACTTTAATAAAAAAACAACCTGTTTGCGGGCAAAATCTTTGCGTTTTTGAACGAAAAATTGTTACAAGTCGAACATGTTTTTCTTGTCTTTTCAGAGAAGGGATTGACATACTTTCTTTCAAATGTACATGTAGTGTCTTATTTAGAAATTAACATGGGGAAAACGTTGCCAACTTCTGATTTTAATGTTTGCAAAGGGGAAAAATAGCAACAAAAAAAAATAAATAAATAAAATTCAAAGAGCTTGATTACCAATTCCGGCACCCACAATTAACCGTCCCACAAGTAGAACTTCCTTTTTATCAACAGGAGAAATGGCCATTACGACTGCTCCGATAGTGAACACAAAGCTAGCCAGCATGATGACCTTCTTTCGGCCAATTTTGTCCACAAGGACTCCGGCAATGAGGGCGAACACGGCTGCTGCACCAATTGTAGAACTGACAATCGCACTCTGCCAAATTTCAGTTAATTGAAAATCATCCCGAATGAGAAGCATAGATCCGGAAATAATTCCCGTATCATATCCGAATAATAGTCCTCCAATGGTTGCAAAAACAGTTAGAACTATTACATAAAATTTGGAACCCGATTCGTCAGGTCGTTTTTCCTCCAGTGAGAAGTCCTCTGCCATTTTTGTTTTAGTCTGAAAGAAATTGATTTCGTTGTATGTTTTTGTTTTTGTTCGTAAAAAAAAAAATATGCAGAAATAAAAACAATAAAAACACAACTAGAAAACCCAAACTTTTTGGATCCCAAATTATTAGAAGTCTTCCTTAATCCATTAACTCGGCGGCACTGTCAAGAATTTTAGTTCTTCCTGTCAAAACTTGGTGGCTTTAAAAAAGAGCAGGAATCGGAAAAGATCGATAATAATATCCGAAGAACTCCTACAAAAAATGCCTATATCAGGAGATGAAATTAAGCCCAGAAACAATCCCCCTGATGCCGAGTCGAATGGGGTCATCTCATAAGAAAACGGGTCTTTTATCTGTGACGGGTTTACTTATATACCCAAATGTGATACCCGTTATCTATAAGTTTACTAGATCAGCCGCAATGTAAAATTTACTTTACCGAATTAACTGTTTGCTTTAGATTTAATTTTCTAACTTACTTTTAATCTTTTGTTTCACCTTAATCTAATTATCTAATTCTAATTATTTTTCCTCCTTAAAAAGTTGTTTTAATGTTTTTGCGTATGAAACTTAAATATTTTCATAACTGAATTTATGGTTTTATATTTCAGAATTTCAGAGTTGAATTTTATTCATATCTCAGAGTAAGAGAATTTTATCTTTTTAACAGTAAATGCAAATGGAACAACGCTTAACTTCGAGATGGACCCTTTTCACTTTCATTCATGAATATGATACTTCCTCCATCAATGATGCATGGATATTACCTGAAAATTACTAAATATAGATAAGGATAACAAAATAATTAATAAAAATTATAAAGGTGTGAACATGTTACATGTACGTTTCGTGAAGGAAGTGTGGCGTGTTGTAGATTTGTACTTTGGTTGATCGTCTGTATCGGTTTCGTCACTGAGTTTTTCGTTATCTCGATGCTTTTTAAGTGCAATTTTGTGACTAATATGTCAATATTAAAACTGCATGGTACTCACTGCACAAATGTCATCAATGATTAAAATGACGTGTTTCATGGACGTAATTTGGAGACAAAACATCATGTCAGTTATACCCTAAGACTAAAAAAAAGTACTTTAATTTAATATAAAAAAAAGTACATGTACAACTTGTAAGATTTTGCTCGCAAACGAAAGTTTTACACACAAATTTTAAACTTATCATGCAAAAGGATTTTTTTTTGGCTGTGGGAATCTGGTGTAAAATTGCTTATGAAAGACCTCTGAAGAAATCATTTGAAAATGAAGTTATCACACAGAAACAGAATCATGATTATATATGGATTTGTTTTTGACTTTTGAGGTCTTTTATAGGTCATAGTGAGTTGTGGTATAAAATGTAAATGAAAAGCTCTAATGCACTGGTGATATCGCACAGAAAAGAAAGTGTACAGTGTAACAGACAGACAGAAATCCAGCTAGACAGACCCGGATTTTTCTTTGTTTTGTTTTTGTTTTTTGTTTTTAATCTCGGTACATAAACAAAGTCAAATAAAATAAAAGACAACAGACATGGAAACAAACAAACGAACACAATAATTTCCAGAGAAGAAATTATATATCAATGTGCAAAGAATACAGGTACATTTGTATGTGTAAATGCTCTCATTATAGATTTTTACCACATATTTTATTAAAAAAAAATATTGAAATGTTTTCCAATTTGAAGGACAGCTATTTTGCTTAATTATCACATCTTCTCAGTCTGAGTGTATTGTCAACATCAAAGGTTTTTACGAAATCTGAAATTCCTATTTGTTGAGTGTTCTTTAACAATTAAACTCAATTTGAATTTCAAAACACAGTTTGTATCAACCAGCAGGTACGCAACAATTTTGACTACCGAGTTTTTTTCCTGTCAAAGCAAACCAACAAAAATTATGTAATGTGGTACATTTTAAAACATATACAGGACGTCTCTTACATGGAATTAATCCACGAAACATGTCAATCAAATGGAACACGACGGGTCGGTTTCAGGGACCCAAACGGTTTAAAGACTCGTAACTGGGTCAGCCAGTGTAAACGAGAGTCGGGGTGAGATATCTCAGAAAAAGGACCCCGATAAACACTCCAGCAACGGAAGTATTTTCTCTCTCCCCCGGTTGTCTGTATATAAATTTTTGGGACCGGTCTTACAAAAGCTAAGTATAAACCTGAAATTCTTGCACCAGGAAGTAATAGGCTGACCTCTGTATCAGTGATGACTGACCAATCAGAACACAGGTATCCACCGAGTTATCAGGGTCAACTGACCAATCAAAATTCAGGTATACACTAAGTTAGCAAGGTCAACTGGCCAATTAAAATTCAGGTTTACTGAGATGTTATCAAGAGCAACTTTTCAATTAATATATCAAACTTTAAACAATGATGAAGTTTTCCAGGTCAGCCGACGATAAAAAAAAAACAAGGGGCCCATGGGCCACATCGCTCACCTGAGAAGCTTTGACCATTCTGCTTTTTACCAGACTTCCCCCTTGTAATACATAATGCATCCCCACTCTACCCAACTGATCATAATTAAGACATTTTGAAATCTACACTACCAAAGGATCCTTCCATGTGCACATAAGTTTCAGCTTTTCTTGCCAAGTGGCTCTTGAGAAGAAGATTTTCAAAGATTTTCCCTACATATTTCGATGTAAAACTTTGATTCCCCATTGTGGGCCCGGCCTTCCCCCGGGGGTCATGATTTTAATAATTTAGAATATACACTATACCAGGATGCTTCCACATAAGTTTCAGCTTTTCTGGTCCAGTGGTTCTTGAGAAGAAGATTTTCAAAGATTTTTCCTATATATTTCTATGTAAAACTTTGATTCCCCATTGTGGGCCCGGCCTTCCCCCGGGGGTCATGATTTTAACAATTTAGAATATACACTTTACCAGGATGCTTCCACGTAAGTTTCAGCTTTTCTGGTCTAGTGGGTCTTGAGAAGAAGATTTTCAAAGATTTTTCCTATATATTTCTATGTAAAACTTTGATTCCCCATTGTGGCCCCACCCTTCCCCCGGGGGTCATGATTTTAACAATTTAGAATATACACTATACCAGGATGCTTCCACATAAGTTTCAGCTTTTCTGGTCTAGTGGTTCTTGAGAAGAAGATTTTCAAAGATTTTTCCTATATATTTCTATGTAAAACTTTGATTCCCCATTGTGGCCCCGCCCTTCCCCCGGGGGTCATGATTTTAACAAATTAGAATCTACACTATACCAGGATGCTTCCACATAAGTTTCAGCATTTCTGGCCCAGTGGTTCTTGAGAAGAAGATTTTCAAAGATTTTTCCTATATATTTCTATGTAAAACTTTGATTCCCCATTGTGGGCCCGCCCTTCCCCCGGGGGTCATGATTTTAACAATTTAGAATCTACACTATACCAGGATGCTTCCACATAAGTTTCAGCTTTTCTGGTCCAGTGGTTCTTGAGAAGAAGATTTTCAAAGATTTTTCCTATATTTCTATGTAAAACTTTGATTCCCCATTGTGGGCCCGCCCTTCCCCAGGGGGTCATGATTTTAACAATTTAGAATATACACTATACCAGGATGCTTCCACGTAAGTTTCAGCTTTTCTGGCCCAGGGTTCTTGAGAAGAAGATTTTCAAAGATTTTCCCTATATAATTCTATGTAAAACTTTGATTCCCTATTGTGGCCCCGCCCTACCCCGGGGGTCATGATTTTAACAATTTAGAATCTACACTACCCTAGGATGCTTCCACATAAGCTTCAGCTTTTCTGACCCAATGGTTCTTGAGAAGAAGATTTTTTAATGACCCCACCCTATTTTTGTCTTTTCTTGATTATCTCCCCTTGTGAGAGGACTTGGCCCTTTATTTTAACAATTTAAATTCCCCTTCACCCAAGGATGCTTTGTACCAAGTTTGGTCAAAATTGGTCCAGTGGTTCTTGAGAAGAAGTCGAAAATATGAAAAGTTTACAGACGGACAGACAGACAGACAGACAGACGGACAGACGGACGGACGACGGACAAAATGTGATCAGAAAAGCTCACTAGAGCCTTCGGCTCAGGTGAGCTAAAAATAGTTATGGTATTCTACTGATTGGTGCGAGGATGAAATTATTGATTAGTGTACAGATAAAGATCTTTTTTAATCTCTTAACTTCTTTTACTCATTAAGAAAACTAAAGTGAAATGATAAAAATTGGGAATATGCTTAATCCAACTCATAATTTTGATAATCTTGAGGAAGAGGTTGTTCAAAATTGTAAAACCTGTTTTTAACTTTTGTTCCCATTAATGTTTTTTGATGCCTTTAAAACCACAAAGCTTGTGCATGTAGTATATTGCAGGGTTTTGTTGAGGGGCAGAAGCAAACAGGTCGTGACAACAAAAAAATAGGTAGATAGGTTTTATTGAAATTCTTTTCGAAGTGTATCATACTGTTTCCTAACTTTGTGCATGGTAACGAAGATGAATGGGAAGATAAAGGGGGCGGATTGCCGTCAAGTTTTTAGGTTTCCATCGAACAAAGATACGTCTAATTTTGATACAACTGTGTGAAAAAGAATTAAATCAGTGAATGACCTTCTCATCAATTTTGTTCTCTCCTACATTAACTGTCATTTACAATGAAGCGCATTGAAGTGGTAAAATTTTCCGTTCGAATGGAAAAAGAACGTTTATTGTCATCTTATGACACGCCCATTTCTTTAGAAATGGATTAAACGGTCATTTTTATTCCAATACCTGTAGAATTTTCCATAAATATAATAGCCAATCAAATTGACGGTCTAAATAAACGCCGAGTAAAAACATGTGTTGTCGTAACTTCAATAGACATGATAAGTTCAAAGATATGTACATATTCCAATTTACCGCATTGAAGTGGTAAATTTTTTCCTGGAACGTTTTGAGCTATCTTTAGAACGCTGATTGTCATACAATGACACGCCCATATCCTTAGAAAAGAAAACATCGGTCAAATTGATCATTCGAATACCTGTAGAACAGGTATTCCATAAATATAGTAGCCAATCAAATTGACGGTCTGCATAAACACCGAATAAGCACGTGTTCGACCGATACATGTGCTATGGCAACTCCAATAAACATGATAAATTCATAATTTTGGACAAAACCGTTGCAGTATATTTTTTTACAGAAGCGGGAACTCTCTAACTCTCTCTTTCTCATATCTTTAGAAGTCTCCATTTTGGTGTAATCCATGTTGCTTGTCACGAAGAGTGGAGTGTTATCAACACTACGACGTTTCGTTTCTAACGAAATGGGCGTGTCATTATGTTATAATTGGCGTTCAAAATATGACTCAGAACGTTTCATTCAAACGAAAAATTTTACCACTTCAATGCGCTTCATTGTATGTTTTACAGAAGCGGGGAGTCTTTAACTCTCTCTTCTTATTTTTTTCAAGCTCCATTTCAGTGTAACTCATATTGCTTGTCGCGAAGATTGGGGTGTCCTAAAACATTACGACGAATATTTCTTTCTCGTTTCTAAAAATATGGGCGTGTCATTATGTTTTAATTGACGTTCAAAACATGACTCAGAACGTTTCGTCCAAACGGAAAATTTTTACCACTTCAGTGCGCTTCATTGTACATGCATGAAGGCTTGAAAAATTTGGAAATTAAATCATTTTAATGAAATATTTAGTAATAAATAGTCAAAAAAAAAAAAATCGACCCCCCCCCCCCCGAAAAAAAAGGAAAAAGAAAATAAAAATCTGCATGCGCAGCAGGGCTCCTGAAATTTTAATGGTGGGATCAGGTGCCCAGGGGATGAAAGCACCCCCTGTCGACCGGTACATCTGATATGAGCTATTTGACTCAAAATACTTACAAGAATATTATAAAGACCATAGAATTTCCGAAATGCTGACTTGAAATCCATGTATCATCAACTAAGTTGTCAATAGGCAACATCAGTTTAATTGTATATACTCAGATCGAGCATTATCTAGAATATCGATTAGGTTGGGAGACATAAAAGCCATAAACAGGTGAATGCGAATTTTTACTTCATTAATAAATTTGATAATGGAAAAGCTGAAATATCATCTCGCTTGTCATATACATGTAGTTTAGTTGTAAGTTGGTTCTAAAAGAGTAACTTCCATCGATTCCAATCTTGGGGTATGTCATTAAGTTATTGACGGCGAATACCACAAAATAAAAATAATGAAGGATTCCTTTCTTGATATTAAATCCGTAAACTTTGAATTTGCTACTGTGTCAATACAAATCTTTAACTAGAGGGATTGTTTCCAAGCAGAATGTGTATGAGAAAACGATTCATTTATCAAACTCATAGTCTGAAAGCCAAGGTAGTCATAATGCTTAAGATGTCGGTATTGGTAGAGTAGGACAGACTTTTTGCTCTGCCTATTTATAAATGAAACATACCTTAAACTAACTTTTAGTCGCGGCGATTTTATTTCGCGATTTACCGGGACTAATTCGATTAATTTTCGCGATCAAGCCTTTTCGGATCTGTTGTTGATAGACACAGAATCTGTGAGGACCGGTTCGCGGCGAGAAACATTCGCGGTGACGAAGCTCTCACGCAAATTTCTCGCACGCGAATAAATGTTGGTTTATATACACTGTATACAGGGAAATTCTCGCCTCCGTACTTTCGCCATTGACGCAAGTGGGCAAATGTAAGACATGGCGAATTCAAAGAAAATAGTAAAATGTCTTAAAAACAGAACTGTGACTGGACGACTTTAAAACGAGACAAAACTGTTTGCAGGAGTGAAAGGGCGTAAATTGCACGGGGCGAAAATAACCCTGCATATATACAGTAGTGTAGTGTAAAATGTGAAGATAAAGAACAATGATTAGTCTTACAGAACAAGTAAAGAAAAACGAATCCAGAACTAGGGCAAAACATGAAGAGATGATCAGGTGCCTATAGAGGAAGAAACATCCTCCGCTGGCCGGACAACCTCGCCGTAATTAGCCTTGTGTATTAATTGATTAGGTACACCTTGTTAATCAGTGATTTTATATAAATATAGATATCACGAATATTGTCTTCTAGAATTGCAAAGTGTCCAAAGTCCCACATTAAAATTAATCATATGGTGTTATGCCACATCCATGCAAGCTATGGTTCAAATAGTTCTTTTAAGTTACTTAGGAATGGACCTAGCTACTCTAAAACTTTATGCCGGTCGTTCATCAAGAATGTGTAAAGGTCAGATCCAGCATATGTGGAAAGTTTGCTCTTCAAATGCAATGTCGCACTATGATTGGTCATATTAAGTGGGAATCCCCGGAATAGACCAGAACAGCTACAAAGATAACAGACACGTACACTGTAGAGAAATGGCCAGGTCCTGAACCCGTTGGCCAAACTTAGAGTACGCGTAATGGATAATAGGAGTACCAGGACCCGAGATATCAGTGTTACCAACCTAAGAATCGGAATAAAAGGACTTTGATGGGGTTTGACAGTGTTGGCAAGATCACTAAAATTATTATTACATAGTAATTCATTGACGTTTACCTTAAATATTTCACATAGCGTTTTTCTTATAATCTAATCTATTGTGTAAAATATTTTCTTCAGACAAAAAAGGACATCTTCAGAATAATACTATAGTATTATAAGCATGCCATATTTATCATTTTAAAAAATATCTTGAAATTCAAAACAAGATGACTTGTGCTGTTATCAAAGAACTTTTATTTACCTTTGATTTCCCTCTATGTGATACAAGCTGCTTTTTTTCCGTCTTTTCTTCTTTCCTCCAGAAAACCATTTTTGCATTTTATAGATAGAAATGGCATACCTGCAGACAAGGGTCAAAATTTCACTTAACCAGAAAATATACTGCGTATAGGTCTCGTACTATAACTATAAGAGGATATTACATATCATATAACAAACAACTGTGTATGTATGTATGTAAGTAATTTTTGTCTTTCTCTCTTATACATAAGGGTAAAGGGCTTAATGTATTTGGATACATGCATCAATTTATATATGTTCTAACACATGTGTGTAAGTTTTGAAATTTTGTCTTTCTTTTTCACTCATATCCGCTTGCCGTTTACATATATTTTCGTACACACATTTTTACCCTACTGCGACACGGGGACTCAGTTTATACAGTACCGAAGGACTGTACATCCCACAGGATGACTACCTGACCTGTACTCTTCTTCTATCATAAAGATATCATTTGACATTAAGTATTATTAGTTTACATATGTCTTTTCAGTTTCATTGTGATAAGCAAAACAAGGGTATTATTATAAATGAATGGTACACAGTCAGTTAGTGACCTAAATACGGATTCATACAGGGTGTGAAATGGAAATCCGTATGTATCATTGACTTTAAGACACATAGCAAATTTAATAGACATTATTTCGGCACTGTTTTTAAGGTTTGACGGTTAAAAAAAAAGCTAACTGACTGTGTTTGTGGTTATCCACGTTTGTTTAATATTCAAACAAATAATGGAAGTTGAATCTATTGCTTAAAAAAAGATAATGGAAGTTGAACCTATTGCTTAAAACACTCAAAACAAAATTAACCATAAGATGTACTTGATAAAAACAGCGAAGGTCTGACAAGAGCAAAGAATTGCAAGAGCACAAAGACAGATTTATATGCAATTTTCTTAAATATTAGTGGTATTGTTGTTCAAATTTGTATTCAGCCAATTTGATAAGTTTTTTACAAAAAAATCGGTTGTGTTTTATAAGCTTATATATTATAGGACACATTAACAATATTCGACCTCATATAATACCATTCATTTCATTTTCCAGCTCGCCTAGAAATTGGATAAACAATGTTACGGACTTGTGTTTGAATTAAAAGAGATTAATAAGTTAAATCATAAAGACTAAAGCATTGAAAAGCGTCTTTTGCTTCTTTCCGAGCATCCAGGACATTATTTATTGAACAGCCCTCGTAGGTACATATACCTATCCTCACTGCACATACTGTCGTCTATCAACGCATATTGTCCAGCAGCCTGAAATACATATTGGTGCTGGTGACATATTGAGCTTACCCTCAGTGTACATATTGTTGTGCCACCTCATTTGATGTTGCTTTAGGATTTTTTTTTGGGGGGGGGGGGGTTGGGTTACTTTGTTTATGTAATTGTTGTGTAAATCTAAATTTCCATAGATCTTACAAGGCAGGTATATTTCATGTATGCTATAGTGCACCTTTATACAAAACTAGTCTATTTCCAAGATCTTACAAGGCAGATATATTTCATGTAAATATCTATATGGATACTAAGTGCACCTATACAGTAGTCTTACAAAGTATGAGAAAAATCTATTCTTAGAAGCTGAATGAAGTGCTTATCCTTCTGTAACCATGACAATATACACAATCCATGCAGATGCTCTCAAAACCGCACGTGCAAAAGTTAACATTGTTTATATGTTAATTAATGTTTTTGCCTACTATCATATGCTTACTGGTCCTTTTTTCCCAATTTGATCATAAGCCTCAATCTTCAATGAATTTTTCTGAATTCCAGTAATCTACGTAAAAACAGTCATTTTTTCTACTTGCCCACATACCTTATCCCAGTACAGTCTTGTTCTATTGCTTCTTTGCCTATAATTGTTCTGCGGTCAGAAACTAATATACAATCTTGACATCATATAATATAAATATCTGAGGTATGGAATATAGTCATACTGACAGTTTACATCTGTTGTATATACTAAAAATTTAATTTGGGACAGGCAATACACATACAAGTACAGTTGAGTCAAGATCCCTCGGACTTAGTGACGTTTTTTATTTAAAAAAAAGTTTGATTATGTTACGCAATGTAGTTATATTTTCATTATGTACGTGTGCTTAAAACTCACATCTAGAGAGGATGTTAATGTCTAATAATGAGTAAGTAACAACTCATATGGGAATTAAATAATTTAATTGAAAGTTTTACATAAAAATTTATTTACTTACGATTTCCACAATTGATATCCTTTATCCTTATTAACTACATGTAATATCCTTCACCCACGTTTCCTTATTTCAGACAATGTAACTACAAACAAGTCTTTCCATCATCAACCTATAGTCACGGTGCATCATACAGAAAACTATATCAACATGATCGATGCTATTGATTGCGCTTCTTAGTATCAATTAGTAACAGATTGGGACGCATTTATTGACAGTTTATTTGTATTGTAGTCTTCTTTTTTAATGATGTAAATAATTAATTTGCAAGGAAAGGCAGTTTAATGTTCATGTTCGTAGTGCACGTATAGTGGTAGACTGTTTTCCACTAGATATAAAGATCAATGTTTAAGATAAAATTATTATTGAGCCTGATGCAAATCATAACACTTCCGTTTTGCACAAAGACAAACTAGCACACACACACACCCTTACACACAACAGGAAAATACCCTCGCAAAGTTCATGTCTAAAAATCAAGAAAGCATTCGACATTGATCCTGATGCAAATCATAACACTTCAGTTTTGCACAAGGACAAACTAGCACACACCCTTACACACAACAGTGTTACAAACTAGCACACACACACACCCTTACACACAACAGTGTTACAAACTAGCACACACACACACCCTTACACACAACAGTGTTACAAACTAGCACACACACACACCCTTACACACAACAGTGTTACAAACTAGCACACACACACCCTTACACACAACAGTGTTACTTTATCTCCTTTCCTAAAAATCCGAGGTGGGATAAATCAGCTTCCTTTTCCTCCAGGTGCCCTTTCTAACACATGTAACACAACAATAAATATTTCATAGATTCCCCCGTGGTCGTCTGTCGATAATAAAAAATAAAATCGCAGTCACCAACAACCAATCTCAAAGTTGAAAAACAAATGATACCCTGGTCAACACTCGTTATTATGGAATGAATTCATTTGACGAATCCTTGTTCAGTTTGAACTGTTAAAGGGCAGATTTTAAGTTTTATTTTAAGTAAATATAAATTAAACAAATGCACTCGACCCAACAGTAGTACGGTCAACATATAACTTATTCCAGCACAACTACCAGATGCCTTCTATCTTGTCTACAGTCATATAGACTTCATCTTAATTGTCTTATGTGCGAGTTTTATAATGCTGCTGCAATTTTCTACAATGCTATATATGTTTAACTGTAGAAGTTCCAATAAATATTGTACAACTGCATTCATCTGAATATTGGAGCTTCAAATTGCGTTGACTTGCCAGAAGTGCTTCAGTTGATTCATTCATTTCACTGCTTAGTATTAAAGTAATGAATGACAAGACAAAATTCATGGAAGACGGGATTGTTTATTTAATGATTAATTAAACTGGTCCTGAAAACTTTTCATTACCCTTCACCACACTTTTTCAGGTTTAATGGTATTCTGTACTGAGAATTTTTAGCACTCTGAAACTGACAAGACAATAATAATGGTGTCCATGGAAAATGTCTTATTTTCATGCATTTAACAAACAGGATCACTCAAAAATTAAAATTCATACCAGCAAAGGTTATTTCTCATTAAACAAATATTAGTGGATTAAAGGTAAACTGTAAACTGTGTATGTTTGAAACATAAAATTAGTATAAATTCAAAATAATTGTCAGAAAATTATATAACAAATCAGTAAATGCAACAACCTTTTTCAAGTACTGATTAGAAAAGTAATTAAGAGGCATTCCTTGTACTAAATACTTCAAATTACAACCTTTATCAAAACAAAAAAATTTGGAAAATAAAAAGTAACAACTACATAGCACCTATTATTTTGTTTCCGTATATAATGTGCAAAAGGACTAAAATACTTATTTCTGTGTCAAACAGAACAAATATTTCTGATTTATGGCTTACTACTGGTTATAATGAATCCAATGCAGTGCATTACTACGTCGCTATAAATCTACGGTTAGTCAATAGAAACAGAAATATCACTTGAATCCTGCGACTTTGTTGTTGACAGGTCTCCTCATGAATTTGTCCGACGCCATGTAGGCCTTGATTTTCGGGAGAGCCTCGAACCTCTCGGTGAACTTGACGAGGTTCGGGAAGTCGTCCAAAATTCCTGGCTTCATCAGTTTGTGTTGGTCCAACAGCTCGTACATAGGGAAGTCGCAGATCGTTATCTGAAAGTTAGATGATATTACCGAAACTTTCAGACTTTTGGAAATCTTTCACACTAAAATGCACCTTTATAAACATTGTAATTTTTCACAAAAGAAACTTTAATAACGTTTGTTTCTGCATTGTGAAATGTAATTCTTTTCCTGTAAAATGTGTTCATGTTATGTACATAAACAAATCGATATGTAAATGAACATTGCTTAAAATTTTTTTTTAAAAGCTTTTCATTTCAAAACAATGAAGTTATTAATAAAATAATTTTAGAATCAACATAAAGAGAGGCAACTCTTTTTGCAACCACTTCAATCACTCATACAGTGGGATCACTTACATTTTCTCCAGCAAACCAAGGTTTACTTCCGAGGAATGATTCGAACGATTTGAGTTTGTCCTTGACATTGTTAAAGTAATCTTCTTTAAGCTTCTCCTGTACAAAAGAGAAATGAAAGAGATTTGTATTCATATAAATTCATAAAATACATATTTTACGGTACACTGTATCATATAATCCCTATTATATGGTATTTTAAAGTGGGACAAAAACTTTAGGTCAGCCAATAATGCTATAATATGTCCATTATTCCTTACATTAAATGTTAATAAATTTATTATTCTTAATGTCAAACACATTTTGACATGGTTCTAGGCTGTGTTAGATACATACAGTCAAACCATGATCAATCTATTAAATCTACATATATATACTCATATTCAATTTGATGGGGCAAGGAAAAACATACTTCGAGATATCAGAGGAATAAGGTATTTGAGATATCAGTCTTTTAGATATCCAAGTTTGACTAATATGTATGTTTTACCAGGTACATTATTTAAACACATCTAAATATAATTGTACAAGCCTTTATCATGTTTATAGAATAATTAAATCACTTTAATGAATATAAAAGGAAAAGAATAACTGTCATTGATTTTTAGCTTTCTCAAATATTTATTCCTAAAAATGACAGATGTATAAAATTGTAAAATAAAATGTTTATTCTCTGCTTATCAATTCAATTTAAATTGTTAAATATTACTCACATAGTCCCTGTTGTAACACAGTCGTACGACCCCGTTCCTGAAGTCCATAGCATTCTCTACCATCATATCACAGTCCACTTTCTCATGGGCAGACTTACCCACTGTTATCAAAGCAGAAAAATTGTAATAAATGTTGGGGGCTAGCTTACCCAGTGTAGTAATTAAAACAGAAAAAATTGTAATCAAGTCTTTGGACGAGCTTACCCACTAAGGATAATATAAACTTATTTACAAAACAGCCCAACTGTTTTAGCATGCGTGACATTTTGCAAAAGGGACTAGAATTTCAGCTTCTATGAATCTTTACTTTATGTAATGAACAGACATATGCTATTATACAGTAAAACTTGTCAAATGCAGACCCCAATGATTCCACAGAAATTGGTCAGATAAGACAACATTTTGGATTAGCCAAGATTTTAAACAATTTAAGATAGAACTTATTGAAAGGGACTTAAAAAATAACATCATATTAGCCAAGATCTCAAAAAATTAAGATAGAACTTATTGAAAGGAACTAAAAAATTATGGTAAATCATGCTAAACAAGATTTCGGAATGCATAACATCCAAATTAAACAAGTTTTACAGTAATTTCTTGAATTCTTTACCTTGATTTATTATAAGACGTGTACTTTACTTACAGAGATTGTGCTTATCCCCAATGTACCTAAGGATTGTGTTACTCTGGGTGATTTTGATGTCCCCATCAATGTAGTATGGAAGCTGAAACATAGTAAATAAATCATTTGTCTTTTATATTTTAGAAATTCACTCAAGGATTGGACCCATATCATTATTAATGGCAAATGAGGGTCTCGGCGACTATTTGATATATACAGTGAGACCTGTTTTATCAGACCTGCACTGGGAGACAAATTTTGTGTCGGAATAGACAGGGTGTCAGATTGCACAGTGTAAAACACATGAGAAAATGGTGAAATAGGAAAGAAATTTAAGGTCAAAATTCACAGTGTGACTGCATGATAAGGGATTAGACAGTTTTCACTGTATACAGTAAAACTTGATTCACACGAACACAGATTTTGTGAATTTTCGGATATAGCGAAGTTATCTTGGATCCCCAGCTGTATATATTTCACAAATTCATTATACGGATATAACGGATTACATATATAGTGAAAGAATTCCATAGGTCCCAGTGACTTCTTTATAACCGAGTTTTATACCACATACATGTACATCATCTGTCATCATGTATTTTCTTTATATTATTCTCAGTTATGGGTATGTATTCCCCCCCCCCAAAAAAAATTCAACCGATTGAATAAAGACAAGCAAATGTGAAAAAAAACACTATATACTCACATTAGGAAAAGCTAGTCCTAGCGTGTCTTTAACAGACAACCAGGCATCCCGGCTGTACTCTGGTGCTGAAATTATCAGAAAAAAAATATTAAGTTCATGTTCAGTTCACTCAAAACTTGATTTATAAACTTTGAAATAAGACTCAACAGACTTGTTTGAACTTTTTTTTTTTTATTGAAGCTAAATATCGCATTAAAACTAAGATGAGGTTACAAACCATCGCCCTGCTCATACTGGACATCATCAAATTCTTCTCCAACATAATTTAACAACAATCTAATAGGTTGTGCAAGCTGAAATTAAGAGAAATAGGAAAAAGTAAGTCTAATGCATAGACATGTTCAATAATCAAGAAGAAAATCTGCAGTTTTCACTCTATAAAGTTAGACCATTGTACATGTTGTAGGAACATAATCATGGACCCAATAAGCTTGGTGGCGATTAAGGGTATACACCGTCGGTCTCACAAAAAGGCAGAGGGTTTTTATTTTCATAATTTGGTCAAAAGATCAGATTTTTGGCAAAGCTTATGGTTTTTTTACTTAAAATATTTTCAAAACGCACACTGACGGGGTTACTTCATAATAAAACTACCGGCACGATAGCATATTACGTAACTTGCTGATAATCAAAGGTGCATCGCGCACTTGCAAGTTGACCTGCGTACGTTTTACTTCATTTTGTATGAAAACTAATTTCAGATTATGAATTTAATTTACCCCTCTAATTTTCCAGTATCCAAGGGACGGCATGATGAAAAAGGTATCTTTTACTCCTCTAAACAAAGCTGAAAGCGGCTGCACAGTGCACCTATCGGAATTCCTTCTCCGAGCCCGATGGATATTTAAACTTCTAAAGAGGTTAACAAAGCCTTCAAGATAAGATGCAGGGGCATATAATTTGCGATATGTACACTTACAGAGATTAAATAAAACCGAGTTAAACTAGCACAAACAAATGATAATTGATTTTATGCAGGATTTTCAATCTGGTGTGTCCTTATATGGGTGCAAGAATGCAGTGAGAGAGCGCGCGCGGTTTTCAATATTGTTAAAAATGATGCCATTCCATAAATTTAGCATGCACGAACTGTAACTACATCATATAGTTTATGTCAATGACCTATAGTATACTAGTTTTAAAATCAGCCACGTAGCATCGTTTTTGAAAGTGGGGGGAGGGGGGGGCAGACAGAGAAAATTTTTTTACTTACCTGAATCAGGGACCTATGTACTAATATAGGTCCCTGCCTGAATAAGTTGACAAGCAAAAACAAAAAAAGGGGGTGGGGGAAAGAAAACTGCCAAAATCGAAAATTCTATTTCGGAGGGGGGGGGGGGGGGCACCAGCTTTCAAGGGACCTTTCCTATAGTATAAGTAATGTTGGAAAAAAAGTGGGGTTGCCCCCCCCCCCCAACTTTATGTTATCTAAGAAAAACGTAGTATACATGTAAAAAAAAATGGTACTGTAAAAAATTGGCCTCTAACCCACCCCCATCCCCCGAAATAGGAATTTCGACTTAGGCAACTTTTCTTTTTTTTCATTTTTTTTTTTTTGCTTGTCAACTTACTCAGGTAAGTAAAAAAAAAATTCTCTGGCTAACCCCCCCCCCCCCACTTTCAAAAACGATGCTTAGTGGCTGATGGCTAAAATGATCAAAAACTAACGCCCGTCTTTTATAGTGTTACCAGAGACCTATATACTAGTGCATATAGTATATACCGGTATGTCCCTGGTGTTACAAGAACGATTTTAAACACCAATGTCTGAATACCCGTTTTACTCCCGGAAATATATACAATCAATACTATAGTACAAAAGGATAAGTGGTGTTTATTTAAAAGCAAAATTTATCAATACGGTAATATTTTATATCTACGTAGTATATTATGGTAAGTACGTGTAAAACTGATGGTCCGATTAGGGCATCAGTGGTGTATGGCCACAGAAATGAGTCGATAGACTCACTCACTGGAAAGAGAGAATTACAAGTAGAAGATGACAGGGGACTTTTATTTATGTACAATGAAAGAGAAAGGATAAAGAAAACGTCCTGTAATCGATGTGATTAAAATCTTTAAACAATGAAAAATCTTTGAAGAGGATAATTATACTTTAGTCTCTTTTTTGGAAAGATTAATTGCAATCAAACTAAAACTGTAGAAGGGGTGTCCTATTGAATTGATTGATTGATTGTATGTTGTTTAACGTCTCTCTCGAGAATTTTTCACTCATATGGAGACGCTACAAATCTTTAAACAATGAAAACTCTTTGAAGAGGACACACACAAGGACCCCCTGGAAATTCCAGTATAAGGATTAGGTGCCTAGGAGGAGTAAGCATTCCTAAAACGTTTGGTTGACGTTACGGCTAAAAATAAGGAGCTTGCAAAATATGTATTGAAAAAAATGCATTATTGTATTCTATACGTAAAAAAAAGAAAAACAACAACAACAACAACAACAAAAACCAACGATACCCCCCCCCAAAAAAAAAAACCCACTAAATAAATAAATTATAATAAATAAATAAAATTATAAAAAGGGGGATCCAAACTCGACGTCCTGGTATGTTCCATATATACATCCACGACCGATACTTTCGCAAAAAAAAAAAAAAATTCTTTAATTAAAAAAAATGACCCAAATTGCTTCTATATATCTTAGTATTAACATGCTAAAGTGGAAATCATCACAAAGAAAATCGTTTTAGTTCTTCCAAATGCAAAAAGGTGAGCGCTGAATCACGTGATAAGATGGGAGTTTTTGTTCAGTCACAAGATTTATAAATTTGATTTTTATCAGCGTATATAGATGTAAAAATCAAAGCACAAGTAAATTATCGGAGGAGAACACTAATTGTACTTTGGGATGTAACATAAATGTTTTAGGTATTCAAAGAGGATTTAATATTTTCAAAAAGAGATATATACAAAGGCTTGTTTGTAAAAGTGTCGTATAGTTATTCGACATGGAAGTTGAGTCAACACCTCTCATAAATCAATCAGATTCGAAATGTTTCGTTATATTTCTGACTTGTATGGCGGCACTGGGTGGACTCCTCTTTGGATATGATACTGGAATAGTCTCCGGATCCATGTTGTTGATCAAGGATGACTTCCAGTTGTCGTCTGTATGGCAGGAAGCAATCGTCAGCGCCACCATTGGAGCCGCCGCCATTTTTGCTCTTATTTCAGGAACTCTGGTAGACAAGCTAGGCAGAAAAGTGGTGATTATGCTCGCCAGCTTCGTGTTCACTGTTGGCGCGGTGGTTATGGCAGTTTCACCCACTGATACGAAAGAGGTTTTGCTCGTTGGAAGACTTATAGTTGGAGCAGGAATAGGTAAAAATAAATTTAGTAGTAAAAAAAAGAGAGCTTTGTGCAAGCATTTCTCAAATAACTTGCTACAAGTCTAAAATCCTTTATCAAATTCCCTTGATATACTAGTAAAGGCAAAAAAATTATTTTTTTTTTTCTAAAAATGTAAATTTCAAACAACATGTATGACTTGATTCGAAAAATTGTGAATAAAAAGTTATTTAAAAAAACTAAAATTAAAATGGTTAGAGGGGATTAATCCTGACATACGAGTACTTTATAGAGGATTTCAGATCATCCTTTTTAAATACTCATTCTAAATTCATCTTGGTACCGAACAATAACATTTACACTATATAAGTTATGTAACGTTTAAAATGAATGTACATTTTTCTAATTTGATAGAATATGCCATTCAAATTAGATAAAAATCCGCTGATTATTTTTTGTTATTATTATTTTTTCAAGTACATGTATATTCTCTGCACCTAAAAGTCGTACACGTGAACTAGAAATAGATAAATGTACATAATCAGTAATCACATATTACGTAAAAAAGATACCGGTATGATTATAAGAAAAAATGCATACAATATGACCAAATTGATAAACAATTTCCCTTGGCATTATTTCAAAAACTCAATTTGCATTTATTATTCCTTTTACGTTATTTATTTTACACCAAACCACTAAGGAAAATCATATTAAATCTATAAACGTGTAGTTATTTTATCACTAATATTGAGAACTTTGTATATATTTTGATATATTGGTATACTACAGGGTTTGCTTCTATGTCTGTACCTGTTTACATTGCTGAAGCCGCACCAACGAATATCCGGGGATCTCTGGTTACAATGAACCAGCTTTTCATCACTATAGGGATTCTTCTGTCCAGTATTGTGGCTGGAGCTTTCAGTACTGATAAAGAAAACGGATGGAGGTACATGATTGTACAGTTACCAATCTCTTAGTTCAACTTTGAATGTTTATTCGTATCTACATAGTCGCAGTTTACGGTGCCGCATGTACATGTATAACTTACTAAGGTTTAAATTTAAAATGCACAAAAAGTACAAAAATAATCACGAGAAATATTTCATTTTCACTCTTTCCTTTTAAAGTTTTATTCAGGTATTTGTTCTTATAGGCTTAAATCCCAGCACAATGTATTGTACGTAGTATTTAACAAAACTTAACGTCTGATCTTCATTTCGTATGAAAATAGAAATCGAGTAAGTACTGTATATTATTTAAAATTTCCTTCTAAAGCCTACAATATTTTAAGGTACATGTTGGGACTAGCCGCTGTGCCCAGTGTGATTCAGTTTTTTGGATTCTTCTTCCTTCCCGAAAGTCCTCGATGGTTGATTGCCAAAAGACGCGAAAAAGAAGCAAGATCCGCCCTAGAAAGAATACGTGGATCAGGGGACGTGACCCTTGAACTTAATCATATTCAACAATCTGTGAGAGAAATGGAAGAGGAAAACAAATATAGTGAGTATATATAAAATAATGAAAGAAAATTTCTGCATCACCAGTACCATTGCCTATGACTTTCAATTCAGGACGTTCAAAAATATACCAGCATTCCATGAATAAAATTGGTGGGACTATAAATCAAAAACTTCTACATACAGCAGATAGTACGCAGTCTATGAAGCAGAAAATGGCGAAGTAAAGGAATACTGTAGAACAATGTATTTTCGCGATGCCTTATTTTTGCGAGATATCATTTGATATTTATAAGCCAAACAAAATTTTCGAAACAAGAAGTTTTTGTAAAAACATTTATACATGCCATACTGTGTATAGAGAAAGTTTCGCCCCGTTTTATTTTCGCCCCTTTCACCCTCATCAGAATTTAAGTGAGCGAATTTTTAAAATGGGACGAATATAGCATAAAAACAGTATAATTTCTTCAACAGAAATCTCTCTGGGAAAATTTAAAACGGGGCACACTTGTTTCAAAAAATGTGAAAAGGGCGAAAATATAACCTTGTTTACAGTACACGCGAGAATGAAATTTTCGCGAGAATTATACGAAAATAAAGTTCTCGCGAATAAAAGGTGATCGATTTACAGCACATGTAAAAATGAGTTACGGATTTTAACAAAATGTTCCATAAGCTGAAGCTCTCATCAATGTTTCAGAATTATTGACCTATTTATTCTCTTCATTATACAACAGACTTCTTTCAAGCCTTCCTGTTGATCTGGAAGACCCAACCGGTCAGACGCGCCTTGTTGGTGGGATGTCTACTACAACTGTTTGGACAACTCAGTGGAATCAACACTGTCATGTAGGAATACGAGTACTAGTCTTTTATTTTTGGAAAGCTTAAACAAGCTATAAATAAAGAACATTGTATATAAATTGTTATTATTTAGATATTCACCATGGCCTTTCAACTGCTAAATGAGTTCGTTGTTCCAATCAAGGATGAATCAACTACTATATAGTAACCTCAATCGCATTCGAAAAAAATTCTCTCCTTTTGCGACCTTTCCTATACTCGCGAATATAGCTCGCCACGGACTATTAATTACATTGAGTATTTCTGTAAAATAATTCCCCAGCTTAGAAAATTAATCTTAAATTTGCAGTTCGATTTCAAACCGACAAACCATGAATAATAGTTGTTTTACAGTAGAAATCTAAAGTACCAGTTCTAATTATTCAAGCACGAGTTGTAGCGTCTAGGATACCAACAAACTTTTAAAAAAAATGTCTATTCCTCAAACTGCCAAGAATTGTCTTTTGTAGCAGCTACATGTAACATATGTAGTTATGTACGTATAATAAAAACTGCTTTAGCTTTTAATTATTTTTTTTTGGATTTTAGTTACTACAGTGGGACTATTTTGCGAATGTCTGGATTTCCTTCAGATCTAGCTATCTGGTTGGTTTGTATTCCGTTTGCGGTTAACTTCCTGTTCACTTTTATTGGCATCTACGCAGTGGAGAGGGCGGGTCGACGAATTCTCACTCTTGCCAGCTTTATTGGTAGGTAAAGAGGGACAATTTTCTGATGAATGTCATTAATTGCAAATTTGCGGTAAACACAACAGGAATTAAGACAGCCTTTGCATGAACTCACCATGTTTTCAGGGACATTGCAAGAAACATATGCACACCAATTTGTTTTTGGCAGTAATTCGCAGGAAACATTTAAAAAATTGAATGTAAGAAAGTTCCCAAGAGCAGTAAACAAGTCAAATCACCAAAACATGTAGGAGGCAGTCTGTTAAAAACGGTTTTCTTTTAAAAAAAAAAAAAAAGAAGAATATGCTTTATAAATAAAACCATATGCAAATATTCTTTAATTTTCTGTTTATGTCAGAAATAAACATTTTATATTACACTTTAATATGTACACCTGATTACCTCTTGTTAAATACACTTTGATTTTGAATAGGATGGGAACATTGTCAAGCAATATAAAGATCATAAAATTATCAACACTTCAGAAACTTACATCATTTGAAACAAATGGTTTCTCTGTATGAATTATGGTCAAGGAATGTTTTCTGCAAACTTGCAGCTAGCAGCAATGTAGGCAACAGGCTTGCAGCAATGTTGGCTGTAAGTGTGCAGCAAGGTTTCTTTGAAAAATAGACACACAGCAAAATTCATTTGCATGGTGTAAAAATGTTTCCTGTAAGATTGCTGCATACTTGCTGCAAAATCACGTGACGCGTTATATATTTAATCACACTGCTCTTTTCAAGAAAGTTTCCAGAAAAATTTTCACGAATTTTTCATCTTTTACGTTCTTTTTATGAGACAAACTACCAAACAGGTGAATTCATATACATGTACAGTATGAGAATATTTTTTCTTTGTCAGGAATCATCGTGGCATTGATTGTTCTGGGACTTGGATTTTGGTTTTCAGATAAACATTCTCCAACTATTGCTCACCATCTTGACAATTCGTCCATCTGTCACACCAAGTATCTGTAATTATCATTTTACAGTTTTCAACTGTAATAGATACATGTGCATTTTGTCAAAACACAGTATACCTTTTACTTTTGAAACATTTTATAATTGGAAAGTCATACAAAATCAACTTCTTTTACTTTTGAACCATTTTATAGTTGGAAAGTCACACGTGATCAATAGTTCACTCTTCAATCTATGGAATCCAGATAGGAATATGTAGTTCACTTTCGCTTCATCACTCCTTCAAGGTTTGGGTTGATCGATAGATCAAGCTATAGAATGATAATGCAATGACGATGATGCGATGACATGTATTTAGCGATGGCGAGTTGATGCAATGACGATGGTGCATGGAACGATCAGGTAAAGCAACTGTTCATTTGTTCACTAGAACGCTCAACCGTCATCATCATCATCGCGCTTTCGCATTGAACTTGTCATGGCGCCATCGTTTAATTCATCGGTATTCCCCTTTACCAGGGGTGGGGGGGGGGGGTCATCGTTTTACAGGGGGGTCCATGGTAACTTTTTTCGTGTTTTAGTATATACATTTTTTTACGATAAATTCCAAAATACGTTTCATGCATATCCGGATTCTATACATATCATATCAATTCGCTGACGATGTATTGCAATATGATCAACAATTATTTTCAGTATTACAACCATGTGTCTATTCTAAGTTTACCTGAGTTACTTTGGTGACCTATATATTGCTATTCGTCCTTTTCGTCAGTTGTATCCATCGTAAACTTGAGCATTTTAAGTTCCTTCAATGAACCTCAGAACCATGATTATATCATCAATGGGTGAAGGGGAACAAAACTTGTACATTACACTCGGATGACTGTTAAGGCCCTTGGTCCTCTTTGAAATAATTATTGTCCTTCTAACAAACATAAAATTTATCTGCTGGTATTTCAGATCATGTAGTACTTGCATAAAGGATGACAACTGCGGCTTCTGTTGGGAGAAGGATCACCCAGACACGTCTGGATTCTGCCTCCACGTGAACAAGGATAATCCGGAGCGGTATGCCGATCCCGGAGTGAATTCCTCTACTCATTACAATGAGTCTCTGTGTAACCAGACTAACTACCACACCAAACACTATGGCTGGGCCAATGACTTCTGTCCAACGGATTACTCATGGATGGCCGTTCTGGGACTTGCACTTTTTGTCATGTCGTTCGCGCCAGGTGATATATTAGTATCCGTATGTTTAAAAGTTAACCTGTAATCAAAGCCAATTCGGGGATATATTGTTTTTGCCCTGTCCGTCTGTTCAGTTGGTCTGCAAAAACTTTAACTTTGCCTTTAACTTTAAATTGGTTGCACCTATGGCTTTCATTTTTCACATGTGTTTTCATTGTGAAAAGGCCTTCCTTATATCTGACCTCTTCAGAGAGATACCAACATATCTAACCTCTTGACTGAAGTTTGACCAACTTTTGCATAAATTTTTTTCAAATTAATTAAACCTCAGTCATAACATTCAAACAGTGGTGCTAGAGCTTTCATATTTCATCATATTGTATCCAGATATGTTCTCCCCATGGGTATATGCATTTTTGTCCTTTTTACCTCGACCTTATAGTTTGACCCATTAAAAACTTTAACCTTGGTTATTACTTTGAAAAGTAAGCATTATGCGTCTGAGATTTCACAAGTATATTTCTTGTGACAAGACCTTCCAGTGAATATTAATAGTTTTGAGTTTGACCCACTTTTGAAAATCTTTAACCTTTGCCATAACTTTTAGAACAGTTGCATGTGCATTTCGGATGACAAGGTCTTCACCTACGTAAAATGAATATATTTTGACCTTTGACCTTGGCGTTTGAACCACTTTTAGAAAACATTAACCTTGACCATAACTCTTGAATCGTTGGTGATTGGACCTTCATATTTACCAGATGTATTATACTAATAAAATTTGCCTTTCATATTACAGGACTTGGTCCAAATCCCTGGACAATAAATTCAGAGATTTACCCGTTATGGGCGAGAGGAACAGGAATTTCCATAGCAACAGCAGTCAACTGGGTGGCGAATCTGGGAGTCTCGTTTTCATTTTTGACACTTCTTGAAGCCATCACTCCTTATGGTAAAATTGTATACATAATTGTAATAGTGAAATATTACTTTGAGGAACAAATTAAGATATTTAAGAGGAAAATGTAAAGAAAAGTTTCATTAATTGATAATTACATACTGTATGTAAAGCACTTAATGCATTTAATTATGTATTTGTACGACTTTTTAAGCCACTGAAAGACTACTGAAAATAATATCGAATTCAATTTCCAGGTACATTTTTCCTGTATTCAGGAATTTCGTTTGTTGGAATGATTACACTTTTTTGCCTGCTGCCGGAGACTAAAAATAAATCCCTGGAGGAGATAGAAATATTATTCATGACTGAAGAGTACCGAGTCAGAAGGAATTCACAGAGACAATGCACTGTACAGAGGAGGGATGTTGAACAAATGGAGTAAAAACAAACTGTAACGTTCATGTGAACACCTGATAGAAAGTTTATAGTCATGTGCTTTCATTAATCATAACACTTATTATTATCATCCTTTGTATGTTCACCTTTAATGATGTATGCAAACCATGGTTATTTTTTTTAAATGCTAGTACCATGTAGTACTTCACCAATAAATATCAAGAATATTAAATTTCAAATAAATAAATGAACACTGTGTCATATAACAACATAATTTATTCCATCCTATAAACATTCAATAAATAAGTTCTGTATTCAGTATAAAAACCGTCCAATCATGATCAACAATTAATAATTTGATCCCAATCTATATAATTGGAATACACCTCCATTTCTAGCCATCGTTCGTAGTTCTGTTTGAATTCCTCTGTTAGGTCCACTTCTTCTCCTAGCACACTAAGTAAACAATTGTCTACAGGTTTAAAGTCAGGGTCAGCGCTGTGAGGGTTATACCGTCTCTGATTGAATCTGTCCACACAGGCTCGTAGAGCACATTCCTCCGCCTGGAAATCCCATGGTCTAGCATCCATGTCTACAAGGAATAAATATTATGTGCAAACATTCCTTTACATTCATGTCGTACATATACAGTTGCACTTTACTATTTCAGTATACTGATTTGGAAGTCCCAACCATTTGTTTTTTAATTTTTTTACCCCGATATTTCATATCCAATGCTGTCTCAAAGTTTTTAATAGGTCCCATGAAGTATGAGAAAACATGGTTTGACTGTATATCACTCTCTCACGTAAATTACCGTATATCAGGTTTTTTCTGTGTGTATTCAATTTTCGCTTTGTTCGCGATGAGTTCTGAACCGTGGAAAATAAATCAGCGTAAATTTAATACAAAGTTTTCTTCTTGTACAGAGTTATTTCTATGCTTGAAAAGTAAAGGGCAGAAATAGCGGGATCAGAGAACAAGCTCTTGATTACATGTATAAGCCCTATTGTTTGTGTACTAATTGACAAGTTAATTATATTACATTTACCCCTGATAGTAGCAGTCCTCGCGAGAACCTATATCTAAGCTGCTAGTCAGTTTGGAGCAGTACATTATCAAAAATTGTTTAAATTTTAAAAATAATATCGGGGGTTTTGAGAGTTGGTATGAAACACAGGTGTGTAAACAGCTGAAAGGGTCTTCTAAAATTAACGAGGTGAATGTCAATCTCTTCATTTCTCGTCCATTTGAAGTAACTTAATGACTTACATTTTACATCCCATTCCTTAATAGGCTTAAAAAATACTAGAATTTTGATATAGTGAAAATTTGATTCGTGTAAATTAAATATACTGATTAAGGTTATGATTCACGGAAAAAACATGACGCGGAAAAAAACTGAAATACAGTATTATTTTTTTTCCATCTCTTTGGTCAAATTATTTAAATAATATTCTTCTAACAAAACCTAATGCAACAGTAACAAAGAATCAACACATAAAATCACAAACAACCGAAATAATACTCTGTACCATTGCCGTAAGCCCAGTCGTCATTGAGTCGATGTCGTACTTTCTGGTAGATGGCGGACATTGTCTTCATGTTACTCTTCCTCCACTGACGGCCGAGGTACTTTGTCTGCATCTTCAGTAACTTCAGGACGTACAGCTGCATCATCGCCTGCTTCACCTTCAGAGACCGCTTCAGGATCGGGGCCGACTTAAACACCACCAACATCTAAACAGGGAGATATTGAAGAGTGGGTTAAAATGTCCACAAATAAGACCTTCATGAATATAACCATGTTCAAACTATACTTAATTAATCTAGGTATATATTAAAGAATTTTCATTTTTATTTGCTTCAAAGGTTTATTCCCACTTAGCCAACATTTTGAAAAAACTTATTCCCACATAGCCAACATTTTGATTTTTACACCTGAGTGACCAACAGGTTATAGTGTGTTTTCGGGTGGACATATATATGGATTACCTGAGAAAAACTACCAATGAAAAGTGTACAAAAAAAATACATAAATCAAAATTAAAATTTTAATCAAAATAATTATAAAATTAGAGTTTCAAATATTTAAATTTTTTTCATATAAATGTACTAAACTAAACACATATCTGCATTTAAAAAAAAAGAAATAGAGTATTTTATGATAAAACAAAAAAAAGTTAAAGAATTTTGAATGCTCTAATATAATTAACATTTGGGATTAGAAATATTTATCCGAGTATGTAATAATATTTGATCATGGTAATGCATGAACAACAGTAACAGAAGCCGATACAAAGTGATTTATTATCTGATGAAGAAATCAATTTACATGTTACTGTATTCATTTAATACTTGATGTACACAACCCTTCTTTAAGATTTAATTATATATTTAATTATATATTGAGTTCCATTTTGGTCCTCAAAATTTAACTTTTTTTAAAAAATTCCTGTCATTTTGTTTCATCTGTACAGTTTTACTTTACTATCGAAAATGCACAAAAATTATTATATTTCTTTTAATAATAATACAGTAAAAAAAGACATGTTGCAGCATATTATGTGTTTTTCATTTTTAGGAAAGATTTTAAACAATTTATGAAATTTATCTATTTTTATACATTTTTATTTTATAAGAATTATATCTAAATTTATATGTTTATACATGTATGACATATCTAGTAAGCTAAAATATGAAAAGATATTAAGTGTATATGAACATGTGAATGTAAATAACATTTATCAAGTGTATATGTACATGATAAATGTTATTTACATTCAAATATCAATTCTCATCAATTTTCAACTTGTAAAACCTTGTGTTTCTAAGATTTAATTGACTTAATTTTACTCTTTTTACTAAATATAAAGTCGAAAAATAATTTGGTTATTTTTTTTTCAATTCTTGATATCCATAATTTACAAAAAAAAAACCCTTTCTTTACATAAAATAATTAGAAAGACCTTTTTAATTTTGATTATCTGATGTAACTATTCTTCAAACATGCCTCAAAATAATATAGACTAAAATTCATAAATATTTTATTCATCTTAAAACAGACTATAGTCTACCTGTAATTAATTTCTTTTGTTCTCCACCTGTACCCCATTCCCACTTAGCCAACATAGATTTACCTGTGTTTTACCTGTATTTTTTCAAAATGTTGGCTAAGTGGGAAGACACCGCTTCAAATACATTTCAGATGGAATAATAATTAAATTATTCAAAACTATTGGGAGGAAAACAATTTTTTTTTGTGTTCCATATGTGAAGATTATCTCAATTATACCAGTAATTCATTACTTTACTCCTCCCAAATCTGTTCTAATACTTTCAACTATAAATAATCACTATCAAAATTAAGAATTATGAGGGAATATCAAAATGGTAAATTACTATAGTTGGCCTTGATATTGACAATAGACACAGGGTGAGGTATTCTTGTTTAAGTAAGCTTTACCATAGTCCTAGAGTGTTTCCACTTGGTGAGTTTGTTGAGTATCCTTAACAGGTTGATACAGGAGAAGAGATTTCTCCAACAGAAGGCCTGGTTGTCACCGCTCTCCTGTAAAGGAAATACAACATCTTGGTCAATGTTTACATGTGAAGCAAAAGAATTATTTTTTTTTTTACAACTGAAGCAACATCTTTAGGTATTGTTGGATAAATATTTAATCTAGGTAGATATCAACACTGTACTCATGTACTTGTCTCTGTGCCATCAAAAGATTCTCAAACATACTGATTTTGAACAATCAACTCGACATTCTGAATGAAAAGAAACAGCTTCCAGTATGTTTCTTTGATCTGTCCCATTATGTAAAACAGACTAGTGTACATACAATCTATCTATCAGGTATTTTACTTACCAAAGCTTCTGCTGTAAGCTCTGGTTGTTCCCCAATCACAGATCCTGGGTAGTCCAAGCATGGGATACTGTAATACAAAATGATGAAATTTGATAAAAGATCAGATGGAGGAGGGAGAGGATTGTTGGATTTAGTATGTATGTATTTCTGTTATTCATATTCAAAACTTACCTGTTTTTGGCAGTAACATAGGACAGTATGTTTTGATTGAAAAATTTCAGCACCAGTGGTATACAGTTGGCAAATACAAGATGCTGGCTCATAAATTCAAACTGAAAGTAAAATGCACATGGAAATTTTAAATGAAGTAGACTTGCTAAGTTAGCCTGGGTTTTTAGTCACTTTGTATGAAAAAAGAAAAATTCTTGATTCTTTTGCTTGGATTAACCTCCCTTGCAACAAAATGAAAAACTTGCTTGATAGACATTGTTGAGTTTGAAGTGTTTGAGCAGTAACAACAGAAGACCTGAGATTTTATATACTCACTTGATAGACATGGTTGAGTTTGAAGTGTTTGAGTAGTAACAACAGGAGGCCTGAGATTTTATATACTCACTTGATAGACATGGTTGAGTTTGAAGTGTTTGAGTAGTAACAACAGAAGACCTGAGATTTTATATACTCACTTGATAGACATGGTTGAGTTTGAAGTGTTTGAGTAGTAACAACAGAAGGCCTGAGATTGCCTTCACAATGATCTCTTTGTGTCGATTCACATCAATACCAAGCTTCATTGACTGTAGAACTGTTAACCTGACAGACATAATTGAAAACATTTTTAATGTAAGATTACAGATAAAATTAAAATACCCCCCCCCCCCCCAATCTTAAACGCTCAGTTTGTACATGTAAATTTCAGAACAATACCACAAAGTTTGACAGTTATGTACTGTAAACGCTGCTAAAATGCATATCTGTAAACTTAGAAAGCATCAACCTTAAACAAGTGACCTAAAAAAGAGAGTAAATTTTCTCCATAATATCAATGCGACACATACGGCATGACCTCTGGGAGAACATCAGACAGGATGTTGATGGAGTCAGTCTTGGTTTTGGAGGTTGGGGCGGCAGCCAGTAGAATCTTGAGGAGGGCTATCATGTACTGGGGGAGATTGGGGAGGATGGCCTGAAACAGGACCTCAACAGGGGTGTTCTGTACGTCTGTCTCAGGCTGTCAAAGAAAAATCCCATTATATAAATGGTGCCTGTTTTGGAGGGTAACAGTTGAAATTGACACCCCAAGGAAAACCATTGTCAACCGACGCATCAGCGGAGGTTGACAACGGTTTTCCGAGGGGTGGCAATTTCAACT